GATATTTTATTATCAATATTTTGTTTTAGAAAACTAATAACAAATTTAATCATTTATGTTATTTTTGTGTTATTATCAGTAGAGAGTGAAGATAGCAAACAGCCCTTGGGCTGACAGGCGATTAAATACTATAAAATCGAATTTTTGCTCCACTTCTAGTATAGTACAATGGTTAGGAAACATCCTAGAAAAACTTGTTTTGAGGTTCATTTGCCGAACGTAAAACTTTTTTTGAAAATCTAAATTATCAGAAAAATATATATGATATTTTATGCTTTTTAAAACAGACAATACATAAAGAGTAATAACCATTTAGTGTTATATAAAATATTTAGCTTTTTAAATTATTAAATTTTAATTCGTTAAATTTTGTTCAATTTTAGCATCTCATTTCGACTATAATTTCATAACATGGTGTTTCTTAATCAAATTGCATCTAAATTAATGAGAAAAATTTTGAAATTTGAAAATTCAGTATCTAATTCAAATATCTATCTAATAGCATTTCTACAATCGCAGTAATTATGAGATTTCAGGTTCAGTTGGTTAGTGAAATTAAATTAAATATATAGTATAGAGGCAAATCTGTAATAATGATTGCGAGAATAAGACCGACAAGACTTTCTTGGCCGATCTTATGATCGAAATACAGTCATTTCTGGTACACTGTCAGTGCGGTGTATCAGAATTGACTGAATCTCTCGCAATCACATTCTGATTGCGAGAATAAGACCGACAAGACTTTCTTGGCCGATCTTATGATCGAAATACAGTCATTTCTGGTACATTGACAGTGCGGTGTATCAGAATTGACTGAATCTCTCGCAATCATATTCTTAATTCGTTTTAAAATAAGATTTGAATCATTATTTTGAGATAAGATGTAAGTGCACAACGACCAAAATATGATAATGATTGTTGTGGATATCGAACACAAAATAAAAATATCCAAATATAAATTAGTTTAAAAGATGTATTTAAGAGAAAGTATGAAATTATATGAAATGGAAAAGTTTCATAGACATTATTGATAATATTGAGATGAAAAAAAAAAATTTGATAAAAAAATGTGAAAATTGATTTCGATTATAGATTGAAAGAGTAGTGCTGTACTTTATAAAAATTTCAACAACTCAATTGCAGTATAGTGTCGATCTTATTCTCGCAATCAGAATGTGATTGCGAGAGATTCAGTCAATTCTGATACACCGCACTGACAGTGTATCAGAAATGACTGTATTTCGATCATAAGATCGGCCAAGAAAGTCTTGTCGGTCTTATTCTCGCAATCAGAATGTGATTGCGAGAATAAGATCGACACTATAGTGCAATTGAGTCTATTGTGTCTGTTTCTGTCATTTCTGAATTTTCAAATTTCAAAATTTTTCTCATTAATTTAGATGCAATTTGATTAAGAAACACCATGTTATGAAATTATAGTCGAAATGAGATGCTAAAATTGAACAAAATTTAACGAATTAAAATTTAATAATTTAAAAAGCTAAATATTTTATATAACACTAAATGGTTATTACTCTTTATGTATTGTCTGTTTTAAAAAGCATAAAATATCATATATATTTTTCTGATAATTTAGATTTTCAAAAAAAGTTTTACGTTCGGCAAATGAACCTCAAAACAAGTTTTTCTAGGATGTTTCCTAACCATTGTACTATACTAGAAGTGGAGCAAAAATTCGATTTTATAGTATTTAATCGCCTGTCAGCCCAAGGGCTGTTTGCTATCTTCACTCTCTACTGATAATAACACAAAAATAACATAAATGATTAAATTTGTTATTAGTTTTCTAAAACAAAATATTGATAATAAAATATCTCATCATTTTTTATGCACACTGTAAGATATATTTTGAAAATATATCTGCACATATGTATAAATACTCTTTTACAATCTTATTTTAGAAAATCATATCTCTATTTGCTGAATCACTTAATAATTCAAACTATAAAACCATTTTTACAATTATTAGAATACAATTAGCTATTTTAACTATAATGTTTACTGTAATATCTGATAAACTCATATATAATGACATTTTGCTCTGGAATAATCATTTTTTATACTAGAGCATATTTTTTAATATTATATCATGATGCAATATAATATATATGCAGTGATATCATAATTCAAACAACTTTGCATGCTATTTAACTTGTGCTTTGATACCATTTTGACAATTAACATCAAAAATCAGTGAAATTTCAAATCATCCATAGTAATGTTTTCCCCATCATTATATAATTAATGCAACCATTGATCACACTCAAAAACATAACAATCATACAAATTTATCATATTTTTCTCTTTTCCACATTGAACAAATCAAAATTGCTTAATTTATTATAATTTCCATCTTAATACATTGATATATAACGCATAATAATATCTAATCTATATTGAAAAATTCGCAATTCAAAAAAGATTTCTAATTTATCTATTTCATTATAAACTAACTTATTAAATATTATTTAAATAAGAAATAAATTCAATTTTAAATTTGCTAAACGCATATATTAAATGGTTAAATGACAAAATCATATTTCTTTATATATTTTTAGCTAATAAGCTTAAATTCTATATTTTCCTGCTTCTGTGCTCATTGGAATGCATTTTATAAGAATAATACACTTCAGAATAGTTATATTATTTCGAATTATATCTTTTTTGAGATTGCTCTATTTAGAAAGTACATTTAGAAAATTTATGCCATATATAATAAAATATCTGTTTTTCAACATGCTTGAATAATTTTGAGCTTATCATATTTTGCAATATTTTTGAAATTTCGAAACGGTGATCTGTTTATTCACAATAGCCTATCAGCATAATAGTGCTAAAATTTCAGGCTTGTGTCATCTAAATTGGGTGAGTTATGACATGATCAAATCTTGAATAATCATGTCCGTTACCTTCTCAGATTTGCAAGGAAGTTGTCCATTTATTATCTCCTAGCTATGCTCCTAGATGTTCTGCTATTCAAAATTGTCTAGCTGTCTTCTGTCCCTATGCTTTAGAAAAATATGCTATTTTAGAACCATGGGTAGGGGGTCATGCAAAAAAAATTTATTCCTGGAAATGAAGGGTAATAGATTTGAATTGTTACTTTTGAGGATTTGACTGAAAATAGTATAATGAAAATGGATCACTACAGAATTATTTTATATTCAATAAACCATTTTGCGTAAATGGTGGTTCTTATCATCTATCAAATTTCGTAAGAAGTCTCTTAAAAATCTTGGAGTTCTTCAAGAAACGATCTTGTTCAAGATACATGTCGAGATACTTTAATAAAATTAATCATAAATCGAAGCAAAACATCACATTTGTTAATAATTTCAAGTAATATATAAAATTCAAGATTACAATGTCTACTGAATGCTAACAAAAACGAACAAAATCTCATCTTTCGACTAGAATATTAATATGATGCAGTTTTTTGTTTAGATCTAATATAAAAATGAATAAAAACTTTACTTTTACACTTTTCATTCAAGTATTTTACTAATATAGATCATGCTTTATCAATGCTTAGTACTATTCTTTTTAGAATAAAGGATAATAAGAAAGATATTTGTGATTTTAAATAATTTTTTAAAATTCACCTTTAACTCATCACTCTGTGAGATGTAAAAAGCATTCGCATTACTCATTCTGCTTAATTGATCAACTCCAAATTCCAAAAAAAATTCAAAAATTCAAAAATGAAAATCAAAAATTTGATTTTTCTCTTAAAAAAATCAATTTTGAAAAAAATTTGGAAAATCAAAGTATTGGATAATTAATCAAATCATCAAATGGAATCGTTTTTACTCATAAAAATCATCTAATTTTTGATTTTGATATCATATTTGATAAAAACTCATTCTATAGTTGATGCAATGTCATAATTGCTATTGAAAATATTATTTCCATAACAAAATTCTTATTTAAAGATAGTAAAATAATAAAGTTTTTATTTCAACAACAACAAGTAAATAGATGAATGGAAACACACTATATTCGCATAAATGTAGTAACTATCGTCTATATTTGAGTTATGACTATTCCAATCAAAATGTATAAAATTGAAATCAGAAATATCAAACAATCATATTCGGTACTGTGCACTAATTATAGAGGTCATCGTAATTTATAAGTAATTTATATCTAAAAGCCGACTTTTTTTTTCTTATTGCAATAATTTTCTCAAATTTTAGTAACTTTTTCTATATTCAAGTTATTTGAATATGCATCATAAGTGACGTAAGAACTCAAAATTACGAGGAATTCTGTCGTTGCATTTTCGAGATGCAAAATTTCGATTTTTAATATGGGGATTTGGCAGGTGCAATCTTGATGTTATCTCCATGTAGGAGTACTGTTGCAATATAATTAAAATTAACGAAGTTGATTTTAAATTGCATAATGCTGGAGAATAACTGACAATACAACTAAGACTACTCTACAAGATAGTTGCTAATTGGAGTAATAAATTAGGCTCCACCAATCATTTCTTTCACCTCTGCCATAACGAGCAGAAAAGAAGCGAACAGCAACCCTAGGAAAAAAGAAGAAGGGTGTCACTTTTCGTGGGATTACCTTTATTGGATTTCCAAATAAATTTCCATTCTTGACTTTGCGTGGAAATCTATAAAAGATTTTTCATTACCCTCAAAATTTTTTACCAAGTGAAGTTACTTTTGACTAGGATAAAAATTTTACGATAAAAAACATTTTTTCAAAATGGATACAGAGCTTTCTGTTGACTATAATTACATTGCCAAACACATCAAAGATTATATTGAACAGGGAAACTTGTTCGATATTTTTAATCCAAAGGATCTCAATCGAATCTTAGAAAAAGCAAAATTAACATCAGATGACTTTATTACACTTATTAATCAGTCCCTACTATAGAAGTAAGTCAGCTCATTGAAGTTGTGCGCAATGCAACAGTTTCCGTAAATAATTTACAAGAAGCGATATCAATGTTGAATTCAATGAAAAAGCGTATGAACGCAAATTTCCTTAATGGAGTTGTTAGTGTTTTGGAACAAACAGAGCAAGAACTTACAAATTCAGCAAAAAAGATTTCCAACCTTGAAGAAACAGTTGAACAGCTTCAATCACAACTTGAAGTTGTCAAATATCTTATCTCAGTTGGAGCTAATAAAGAAGCAAAGAATAAAGATGAATGGACTTCACTCATTCTTGCATCATCTAATGGCCATCTTGAAGTTGCTCAATATCTTATCTCAGTTGGAGCTAATAAAGATAGAAAGAATAAAGATGGATGGACTTCACTCATTCTTGCATCATCTAATGGCCATCTTGAAGTTGCTCAATATCTTATCTCAGTTGGAGCAGATAAAGAAGCAAAGGATAATTCTGAAAATACTCCACTCATTCTTGCATCATGAAAAGGTCATCTTGAAGTTGTTAAATATCTTATCTCAGTTGGAGCTAATAAAGAAGCAAAGAATAAAGATGAATGGACTTCACTCATTCATGCATCATATTATGGTCATCTTGAAGTTGTTAAATATCTTATCTCAGTTGGAGCCAACAAAGAAGCAAAGACCAATTCTGGAAAAACTGCACTCTCATATGCAAAAAGTAATGTCAGAGATTATCTAAAATCTATTGGAGCCAAATAATTTATTATTATAAATCACCGAATAACACCCAATACAGATGTTATACTTTTTTTGCTATTATAATAAAGATGAATTATTTTTATGAGAACATATCAGAAAGTGGAAAGCACACCCTTAAAAAACTCGTGCAAGTTTCCTCAAATTTTTTAAATATTGAAATCAAAATTATAGAGCGTATTATGAATATTATTTGAACATTAAAAATTCTAATTTATTGAGAGATATCTGTAGTAAATCAAGAAAAATGATAATTCTAATTTGATTCTCACATCAATTTACAGTTAAAGTATTGAATATATTTTTTATAGGAATCCAAAACATCACTATGAGTAGTAAGCTTTTATCTGTGTATAATGAAAAATTTATCCTCATGTTCAACATACATTTTTTGAGCTTAAATCTAAGAATTTTATTAATCTCATTATTATGTTATTGATGTCTGTTTAGTGTAATGATATTTTATTGACAAAACATTTGAAAAATTATTTTAAATAAATATTTAATAAATAAACAAGATTCAATAAAAATAAAAATATCAAAATCATTTCTTTTGTCATCACCTGGATAACATTTAATATATTCTGAACTTTCTCGAAGTAATGTAGAAATACTCATCTTAACATCAACAATAGGATCTCCGTTTTCATCAAGAAGTAATTCTTCGCCAATTGTATCTTCATCCTTGTTTTCTTTATTATCTTTGTTGTTGTCTTTTGGTGCTGGACCTTGACCAAGTTTAGTTCCGCCACCTGATGTTGAATTGTTTTCTGATTTGTTGTTATTATTATTGTTATTATTATTTGTAGCAGGTTGATTAGTATTATTAGTTTGTTGTTGTTGTTGTGTTTGATCAGTCTTAGGTTTATCTGATGCAGCAGCAAGGGCAGCTTTCTGAAGTTCAAGTTCTTCTGCGTGTTTTCTCTTCCAAACTGAAAGATTAGACAAAACTTGTCGCATGTTTACATCTAATGCAGGAACTGCTTTTCCTGCAGCTTGGAACATAGGAAGTGTAACATATGTGTAGAAACCAATTTGTGATTTAGATTTATCTAAATGGCTTCGATCATTCAAATCGGATGTGTAAGCCATGCCTTGCGCTTGTTCTAAATCGCCTTGTCGAAAGAATTCTTCACACAAAACATCACACCATCGATCTGCAAGTTCGAATGGACGAGAAACGTTTGAAATATCACCACATTTAAGAATCATATACAACAACATAACGCGGTGATCATGGCGTTGCATTGTGAAATCACCACCATCATAGATATCATTGAATCTCTTCAGAATCTCGAAATGACGTGCCATGTCTGTTGCAAGGATGTATTGGATGATCAATGACCAAATTTCGATGTATTCGTCTTGGTTCAATGCGGCCAACAAATTTGTTTCTTCGTGTGACATAATTTGGATTGCAATTGAACAATGGTGTGTTTCCATGACGGACTGGTTCTTGTAAAGAATACCAAGTGGTGTTTCAGCTTTGACGTTGTAGATTTTAGTGAAACCATCATGATTTGCATCATGACAAATTGCAGCAACAACTAAACTGAATAATTCAAATTTAGTGAAAACTTTTTCAAGACCCGAAATCATGATCTGATAAGTAACAAATTGTGTGACATCAACAGCATGACGCCAGTTATGGTATGGAACTTTCTTGTACATACTTCTGATAGCATTAAGAATCGGAAAAACTTTTCATTCGTGATCTTATAAATTTGGAAGAAATCGAAATAATGGAAAATAGCAAACAAAACTTTGAAATGACCAATGCCATCCCATTCCAATGAATTGAATTTGATGGTGAAGACGTTGTTTTTAAGGACATCTTCTGGGATAATCAGTTTAGAAGGAATTTCTGTCATACTAAGCTTTTCTTCTTTCGTCATTGTGTGGCGTCATGAAGGCGCCATTATGCAAACCGTTCAAAATTGAATGGTTTACAACGAGACGCGGGCATGACATTAACTTCTACAATTCCCGAAATCTAATAAAATGAAATCATCATACCTGCCCATTGTCTGATCACAAAGTTTCTAACTTCTAAATCAAGGAACTCCACCAAAGAAACAATATGAATGCAAACTTTTTTAAGCTTCATTTTGAAATTTTTCAACTTGCAGACAAATTAACAGAGCCAAGAAGACAAGTTCTGTATTCTGCTGAAACAAACCAAATTTTCAATGCAATCAAACAGAATTATTGAAAATTTAAATATATTTGTGATAAAATCAGGAGCAACATACTGTTGGTGCTTTTGTGAGGGTATTGTAACTTTGTGAGTCCACATTAAATTTTTGAGGTAATTAATTGCAATTAATTTTAAAATAATTAGATACAAGGAGTACTGTTAAAGTGTTTGGACATCTCAGTTTATACTTGGCCTAAAACATGAAAAAAATTCGTTTGAATTTTTCGATGGATAAAAACAGTAACAATGACAAGTCAAAAGTTATAAACAAGTAGTAAAACGAATTCTTTTTGATTTATTTAATATCTTAATAAAATTAGAGTTGTTTACTAATCATAAACTATTGTATTTTTAATGGATTTCATCATATTTTGGTGTTTCGACGGCTGGCGTCTTGATGAAGTGATAGCAACCCCAGATGCCGAGAGCCGTAAAGAGAGCGCAGACAAGGCCAAGACCAACGCGGACGCCAATAATTCCACCCTTGCTGATAATGCCCTTGCAGCGGTCATCATCCTTATATGAAACACCCTTTTCATCTGGGCACTGTCCGAAGAAGAAACCATCTTTATCGCCCATAACGCATTCGCGTGTGCTATGGCACCATACGCAACTATAGTTTACATTTGTAGAGACGCATTTGCTGCACCATGAACCAGACAATGCACGGCAGAATGAAGTGTTGACTTCATAGACTGGCCATGGAGTTGGTGTTGGTGTTGGGAAGTTTGTATTGCCGCATTTGACGTTGTCTTTATAATAAAATTCGTTATCTGGACATGTTGTTAAGTTCTTATTTTCGCAAATGTTATCGCGAGAGTTCCAGCCGCAATTACGGTCGAGATAGTGTGTTGTGCAAACAGTGCAGCCATCTGAGTTATACATAGAGCACTCATCGGCAATTCCGGAGCTTAAAAGAAATGTCAACATGGGCCAATGCTTAAAAAAATTTTTAATAGGACGATAATCAACTGATGTTCTCAATTTTATAGGAGGGATTCGAAAAATTCATAATATTGATGGGAATATATACACTATCCTATGCCGATATCAAATTATCAATATTTCATAGAATTAAGCAGGAAATTCATGAATTTTAGAATTTTTAGAGCGGAAATCAACAATAAACTTGTATATGATTATCTAATAAAATTTCTCACTTAAGTGTCATCTGATGTTCTTTTGTTTCTTTATTTTTTTTTTCTGGATACCAGTATGTACTTACTAGACAAATTTATTCTTAAAAAATATGAGATATCTGCAATAAAATGGCGAAGAACAGCAGCTAAGTTGATCCCTGCATTAGCATTTCAATAAAAATGACTGAAATTCCACAATATTGTTATTCAGACGGGGGGAAAACATTAAACTCCGTCTGCATTCAAAATAATAATTTGATTATCTCAGCTGAATGCGAAGTCTTTGGTGGCGTTGATGAAATTAATTATTGTTTCAAGTCGGTTAAAAACATTCTTGAGACATTTTCATTCAAGCAAAATCCGAATCTAAGACGAATTAACGACTACGCATTTTTCAGCTGTTCAAAACTGCGCAGTGTTGATCTTTCTGCATGTATTTATCTTGAATTTATTGGTCAATATGCATTTTCTAAGTGCTCATTAGTATCCAGCTTTCTTCTGCCAGAAGGATTGAAAACCATCTCCAAGTATGCTCTTTCATATTTATCTATTACAAGCATAAATATACCATCAACTGTATCAACTATTGATGATTTTGCAATTTCATATTGTTATTCTCTTAGCTCTGTGACATTTTCTGAAGGTTCACAACTTCGAATGCTAGGAGCAAATGCATTTAGTTATGCTGCTATTGTTAGCTTTACTGTACCAGAAAACCTCGCAGAGTTTCATGGTCTTGTGTTTAGTAACGTCTTAACCATGAAAACAATACGTGCTCATAGCAAAAATCGATATTTATTTGATGATACAAAAGCTATTTATAATGCTGCAAGAACTCACATCATATATTGTGCTTCTAATATTGGAGAAACATATGAAATAGATCCAAATGTTTATTATATTAATAGGGGATGCTTTGCAAGTTCTCGTCTTTCATCTATAATAATTCCAGATTCTGTAAATATAACAGGAACATATGTTTTTTATGGAACTACAAATCTCAAACAAATAACACTTCCAAAATCATTGAAGAAGATTGAAAACAATTGTTTTGAAGGATCTGGCTTGACATCGATTGTTATTCCTGATGGTGTTGAAGAAATTGGCAACAATGCTTTCTCTAATTGTAAATATCTTACTAGTATCACATTGCCAAAAACATTGAAATCTTTAGGAGGAAATGCATTACCTTCCAACCCAGGTATTATTATTTCATCAATCAGCAATGAATACATTTATTTTGACAATTATTATGTTATTTATATTGATCATAATCAATCTATTTCACAATATTTAGGGACAAGTTCAGAAATTGTTCTTTTAAGTTCAGTGAAAACCATTAAATCAAATGCTTTTCAAAACAAACAAAATTTAGTTGCAGTCAGATTTGAAGGCGAATCTAACTTAGAAACTATCGAAATTCGTGCATTTTCAGGATGTTCAAAACTAAATACATTCACATTTGGCTCGAAGATAAAGTATATTGGAGAATTAGCATTTGATAACACTCAACTCACAGGTGATTTCAAATTTCAACAAAATTTGGAAACAATTGAAAAGAAAGCGTTCAATGAAAATACAAAAATAACATCATTGTCATTCTCATCAACAATCCCATTGACGATTTCAGAGAGTGCATTCTTCAATTGCAACTCAATAACATTGATAACATTCAAAACGACAAATCAAATTTCACTTGGAGTTACTTGTTTCAGCGGTTTATCATCACTTACATATATCTCTATTCCAGAAAGTGTCATTTCTGTTGGCTCAGGTTGCTTCATGAACAGTGGCATTGAACAAGTCTCATTTATTGGTGATTCTATCAATTTTGGATCAATCTCAGCATCTATGTTTAAAGGATGCACACATTTATCTGTTTTCAATGTTCCAAGCAATTGTATCAACATTGGTCCAGAATCCTTAAGCTACACAACCATTACATCTATTACTATTCCAGACAGTGTTCAAATCCTCGATGACCAATGCTTTAAAGCGTGTCGTCATCTAGAATCCATTCAGATTAGCAGCAACAGCAATCTATCTCGAATTGGTTTTGGCGTTTTTGATGGATGTTCACAGTTTTCCATTGTCAATCAATTCCAATCCAAGAATTTTGTTAGTGAAAGCAGCGCAATTTATAGTAGTGACAGACGCCGAATGCATGTATATCCACCTGCTTCAACAAGAATTTATTTTTCTCTTCTCGAAGGCGTCCAACATATTGAAGATAGTGCATTCATTGGATGCTCACATCTTGAGTCTATCTTACTCCCTGAGAACAGCCTGATCAGCATTGGTATTAGTTCATTCCAAGGTTGCACACATCTCAAACATATCACTATTCCATCTAGTATCCAGAGTGTAGGTTCTAACGCATTTCTTGACTGTCCTCTTCTCAAATGCGGTGTTCTTGTTCAAAATATCAACAACAAGACATTCATTCATCTTCTTAAATCATCTGGCCTTCAAATGGAATCATTATCATTTTGTTCTGGATTCTCGTGTAAAAACGATTTCCACAACACAGGATTTATTTCATTTTCACATATTGCTGTATTTATATTAGTTTAAATTAAACATATTTTATCATTTCTTTTTAATGTGAATTTTAGGGAAATATTCGATTTAATATCAAAAATCAGATGCTTTGCAATGCAGAGAGCCTGACCATCAGAAAAATAATGCTATAAAAATATGATAAACATAGAATAATAGATAATTTGTTATGAAAAATATCATTGTATTTAGAATAGTCATTTTGTGAATAAAAATATATCAACATAGGTTTGACACTTTTTATCGGCTTGCAGTTTCTCAGAAATATGTGAAACATATTTTGAATATGAAATTTTGAAAGAAATCAAGCCAAAAAGTCCATTTTATGAGTTCTTTATATGTTTCTAAAGAGTTATTTAAAGCACCAGCTATAAATATGATTCAAATTACTATATTAATATCCCTCGCCAATTTTATACCAAAAGAGTCGTAAAATCGTATATATCACAATTTTTTTGAGAACCAAATTCAAAAATTCCGAAAATCATATAATTTTGTTGAGTAAAGTAGGGGTTTAAAAAAATTCGCAAAATGGCGAATTGCGCCACTTCTAATTTTTCGGCGAATTCACCATTTTTCAATTTCGACAGCATATAAGAATGTCAAATCAATTTATTATTTATTTAATTTTTTCCAAATAAAAAAATTTTTTTTAAATTTTTTTTTGTTTATTTCTATAGATCAATCAAAATTTATTTTTGCTGTTGTTCAGCATTCTTTTTAGCTTGTTTTGCTTCATGAGAATGTTCTTCTTTGTACTTATCCTCATCCATCAAATCGAATTCAAATTCATTATAAGTTTTTTCGAACAATTCGAGTCCTTCTTTGATCAAATTCTCATTCCTGAAGAAAGACTTAACAATTGTATATTGTTTGAGTGCTAATTTGTATTTCATGTCCTTCATCTGGATTGCCTTGAACAAATCCTTCTTAGCACCTTCGACATCTCCAACAATTGCCTTTCCTTCAGCACTAGAGAACAATTCCAATGATGTCTTTGGTTCTTGTTCATCAACCTTGCAAAATTCATTGAAAACTTCAATGACTAAAGGATTTCCTTCTGTCTTTGAAAGTTTCTGAATTGCAGGGAGAGCCAAGAATTTGTAGGGGGTGTCCTTGACCTTGGCCCAACATTTAGCCGCTGGCAAATGTAACTTGTTTTCAGCGAAAATGTGAGTTGCGATGGCCAAAGTCTCTGGATTGAGAGATTTCATGGCTTGGAGGTGTTGTTAAGGAATTCTGTCTGTCTTCCTTGCAATATGGCAATTCTCATTGCGAAAGAAGCTGCTTCGTAGAATTGATACTCCTTTTCAACGTTATTCAACATATCTTGAAGTTCAATAAGAGCGCGTGGCTTCTTTGATGCCCATGCGATGTAGTTGAACTCGCCTTTCCTGTACTCATCGAAGTGTTTGTAGATTCCTTCGTACATATCTCGAGCTTTCTTCATATTACCACGCCTAAGGAAGGCAATTCCAGCACGGAGATAGTAGGTGTTGAATTGTGTCTCCCAAAGCAATGACTTACCGTCCTCTGTTCCGGCGAATTGACCGGCTTTTTCTTCGGCCATGGTGGTCAGGCCGTTGAGAAGGAGGTTCTGGACAAGGAGGTTGTTGGCATTGCGATCGGCAGGGTCAGCGTTGGCGAATTTACGGGCGAATCTGAGAGATTCTTTAATTCTACCTGATCCTTTGAGGAACTTCGAGCGCCATGCAAGGAGTTCGATTGCTGTGGTCGTGTGATCTAAGCCTGCATCGATTTCGGAAAGAGCGCTTTTGAGATCTCCTTTTCTATAAAATACTTGAGCTCTGAAAAGCTTAACCATTGGGACAGCGTTCATAGGAACACTTAATTCTGTAGCGATCTTGAAGGCAAGGTCGATTCCGGCATCGCTGAGGTCTTTAAGTGAAATATAAGCTGCTGGAGAAGCTTTTATGAGTAATGGCTCAAGGTATTGGCATAAGAGTGGTTCGTAACGTGAATCATTGACATCCATGAGCTCTAAAGCGCGTACCCAGGCGTATTTCGAGTTGGCCATTTCTTTGATTTTGAGAAGTTCATCGATAATCTTGTCCTTTGGGACGAGCTCCTCGATGATATCAAAGTAATCTCCGTTTTCTGGGTAGTATTTGATGAGTTTGTAGAGTTTGTTGAATGTTTTTTCTGTATCACCGAGTTTGCGGTAGCAAAGTGCTTCGAGTTCATTCATACGAACTGTATCGCGGATCCAGATGGCATTCTTGGCCAAGTAATCAAGGCATTCGGTGTATTTATTTAATTTGATGAAAGCCATTGCGTGAAAGATAGATAATTCGGAGCGGAATACCATCTCTTCATCATTTCGTGATATGGTGAAGTTTCTTTCGTAAATATTAAGGTAATTATCGATTTCTTCGTATTCTTGAATGTACCAGAGGCCTAAAGCATAGCGCATTTGATTGTATGTGTTAGCTGTTTTCTGGGCAAGTTCACGTGCAGCTTTGAAAAATGAATCATAATCTCCAAAGAAGAAATGAAGACTGCAAATGTCACTTAAGATAGATAAATCGGTAGGGTCAAATCTAGAGGCAAGTCTGTAGCATTGAAGATATTGAAGGAAGTCGTTCATTTCACGATATAACATTCCACAAATTTTCCAAGCTTCTGCTGATTTCATATCAGTTCTGTTTGCTTGCTTTGCCATGGTAATGCATTCATCCTTCTTTGTACGATCTTTCATATAAGTAAAGTAAGCTTTGTAGGCAATTCCTACAGCGCAATTAGGAAATTGCTGAACAAGATGCTCAGCTTGCTTCAAACCACGATTGAAATCACGGTTTGCTTGTAATGTACTAAGTTCTGTTAATAATTTTTTTCAGGTGTTGCCTTCTGATGCATATTTTTTATACGGTCCGGCCAAGCAAATATCTATCGTCGAAATCTTTTTACAAAAGAATGAAAATTTCTGCCATATTCTAGTAGAGAACATATCTTCATATAAGACAGATCATTATCGCCGAGAAAAACTTCTACCTTGGCTAGAAAAAACTTTCGGAAATCAAATTCGTTTCATGTAAACCTTTCAATTTTCATAATTTTTGAACTTCATCATTTCTTTAATCAACTCAATATACACAATTAATAAGACATCAACAATTAGGGATGTAAGTTCTCTCAAACATTTAGATTTAGGTAAATCTTTATAATAATTTCCATTAGGGAAGCTTAGGATGCTACAGAAATGTGATTATTTTCATTCGCATAATGAAGAATTATGTATTGAAATTAACATGGATTATGTGAATGCATGAATTTGATTCATTCTTCAAATGATTAATGCAGAGATCTTAATTTTTTTATCATCTATGCTTGATTTTATCTAAAATTCAAGATTCGTGTTGCTAGAAGTCACATAATATTAACAATTTTGGTAAAACTTTTCTAAAATTAAAGTTGAGTTCATCATTTTACAATATCTTTTCAAATGAAATATTATTATTCTTTGTGTGTTGACGTGTTTTCTCAAAGATAAAATAGATTTTCTCCCAGAATTGTTCATTGATTTAAAAAGTGTCAAAGTGCAATCATGGAGAGAGATATCTATGGTGAACTTATGGATACATGTCATGATTATAATGGTGTTATAAACAAAATATACAATTTAAATACATTCGATTTCAAAGAAATCAATATAATTTATGATGAAATAAGAGCAAATTTCATTGAAGCAAATAAATTTTTGCCAAATCAGATATTTGACATACTCGAAAACGCATCATTATACAATAATCGATATTTACCATCTTATTGGTCCATAATAAAGAAAGTTTATCAAGAATTTAATATCGATCGTACAAAAGAAAAATCATCAATTTTTGATTACTTTTTTTATAAAGATCTTGGTGTAGTTTTCAATCAAAACGATATAAAGAAGTTCAAGTGTTATGATTCGAGAAAGATCTCATTAGAAATATATGAAGAAAATACAATGGGCAGAGCGATCATGAATGATGACAAGCAATCATTTGTTTCATTCACAGAAAGAGATGGATTCGATATTATGCAGAGGATGATAAATGATTTTTATCCATTTTCATCAAAAGGATACTCGTTACTTGAATTATGCTGCTATCATGGATCTGTAAAGTGTTTCAAGTTTTTGAGAGAACAATTTCAACCAGAAATAACTAAAAAATGTCTCAAATTATCATTTTTGAGTGGCGTTCCAGATTTAATGAATGAATGCTTAAGATATCAAGTTCCAACTCAAAAATGCATGAAATATGCAATAATTTCACATAACATCGATTTTGTCTCTTTCTTAATACGAGAATACAACTTACAAATAGATTTAAGAGAATGTTGTGAATACAACAATCTTCACGCATTTTTAATTTATCTTGATCAAACGAAAGATATTAATAAATGTTTCCCTTATGCAGCCATGTTTAATTCACAATGTTTAATGGAGCATCTACTTTCTCATGGTGCGAAGATCAATTCCAAAACAGAAGAAAGAGATAGTGCTCTCCATCTTTCAGTAAAAAGCAATCATTCACAAATGGTCGAATTCTTATTATCTCATGGGATCAATGTTAATAAAGAAAATATAAATGGAGACACATCACTTCATTTAGCCTCAAAATGTAAAAACATTCAAACTGTCAAAACATTGATAGCTCATGGTTCCAAAATAAATTCTAAAAATAAAAACAAAGAAACACCATTACATTTAGCGACCTTGAATAACAACATTGAAATTGTGAATTTTCTTATTGATAATGGCGCAAATGTCAATTTAATGACAAATGAAAGCCAAACTGTCCTCCATAATGCTGCGATGAATAATAATATCGAATTTGTAGAAAATTTCATAGAACTCGGTGCCAATGTAAATGCACAAAATGATCAGAAAGTTACTGCTCTGCATTATGCAGCAATCAATAATAATGTAACAATTGCAGAACTTCTAATTATGCATGGTGCGGATATCAATTTATATGATAAAAATCACGAATCAGCACTTCATTATGCAGTTTTTAACAATAGCAAAGAAGTGGTAGAACTTCTTTTCTCATATAATTTAGACATTCAGAATAAAAGCGAAACAAATTCATACATTCAGCAGGAAATAGATATTAATTCTAGAAATTTAAACTATGGTTGTTGTCCTCTTCATCTAGCCGCATGGATGAATAATAAGGAGATTGCCGAAATACTATTATCTCAAGGTGCAAATATAAATGCAAGGACTATAGATGGCAAAATACCTCTTCATTTTGCAGCATTACATCAATTTAATGACACTGCCGAATTTCTGATAATGCATGGTGCAGATATCAATGCAAAAGATAAAAGTGGACGAACACCGCTTCATTATGCGATATTATTACAAAATTTTGAAACAGCGAAGCTTTTAATATCACCTGGAGCAGATATAAATATATCAGATAATGATAAAGTTACACCACATTATATTGCATTTGTAAATAATTATACAGAATTTGTTAAATATCTAGATGAACATGGAGTAAACTTAAATTGCAAAAGTCTGTGTGGAAGAACTGCAATTCATCGTGCAACTATAAACAACAACAATGAATTTATAAATATCATTATCTCAAATGGAGGTGATATAAATGCTTATGATGAAAGTGGAAAAACTGCTTTAATATATGCATGCATATATGATAATATCGAGATTGCAAAGTTCCTAATCTTATCTGGGGCTACAATTAATAACTCCGATGATGAGAAAAAAACTGCCCTTTATTATGCAATTATTAATAAGAATATACAAATGATTAATCTTCTTCTCTCACATAATGCAAATTTCAATATACCACTTTATCTAGGAAAAACATATCTTCAACTTGCTGTTGAACAAAATAACCTTGAAATTATTGAACTTTTACTTTCAAATGGAGTTAATATCAATGAAAAAGATGAAAAGGGAAGGACAGCACTTTTTTATGCAGCAACTCTAGGAAATGATTCGGTAATAGGATATCTTTACTCACATGGAGCTTTTATTAACGAGCAAGATTTAACATCCTCTACAGCTCTTCATGCTGCTGCAAGTAATGATTCAGTAACTCCAGCAAGATTTTTGATATTAAATGGAATTGAAATCAATGCTCAAAATTTTGATGGCAATACTGCACTTCATATTTCTTCAAATAAAAATTTTACCGCAATGGCTGAACTTCTTCTTTTAAATGGTGTAAATGTAAATTTGAGAAATAATGAAGGATGCTCAGCACTACATTATGCAGTGTTAAATAACTCTCAAGAGATGGTTCAGCTGCTTCTTTCACATGGTGCAGACATCAATTTAAGAGATAATCTAGAAAGAACCCCTCTCCATTATATTTCTTTCCGAGATAAGAATGTATCACAAATGATTACACTACTTCTCTCACATAGTGCAGATATTAATGCAAGAGATGATCAAGGAAAAGCCATTATTCATTATGCTGCTCAGTTAGGTTATTTAGATGTGGTTGAATGTCTCATTTCACAGGGTGCAGATGTCAATATTGTAGATTATGAAGGAAAAACATCTCTTCATATTTTAGCTAATTATAATGCTAAAAATTGCTGTAAATTCCTTATTTCTCATAGAGCTGATATCAAAGCTAAAACTTATGATGGAAAAACAGCTCTTCATTTTGCAGTTGGAAAATTCTATTATGACGATTCAACAGAAAAACTGCTGATTTTTCAAGGTGCAGATATCAATGAAAAAGATTTTCATGGAATAACACCTAGATATTTAACACGACATAGAAGGTCCGATTGTTTTTGTAATGTATTAATGTGGAGTTTATGTATTCTAATAATTGTAGGATTTATTGCTTTTATTTTCTGGTTATGTTATAAGAAATGAACAAGTTGATAATACCTCGAAGATCAATAGCTAATTTTCGTGTCATAGATTTGAGATTTTTTTATTAAGGCTGCACTCACACCCATCTGACTTTATTTCAGATTTTTGACAATTGACATTATAAGTCATGTTTAAACATCTGAATTGAAAATTAATAATAGGGGCGATTTTAGAAGATATATTATCCACTTGTAAAGTATTGAATTCAGAGTAAAATTACAAAACTACACATTTTGAAGGACTAACTTTGAAGAAGATTTGTTCCGGATAAGCATATATGCATAATTTATTTATCATTATATATTTTTAAGGATGTAAAACGTTTGATATACTTAAGTCTAGAATCTGGTATTCTGCCATAAATATTAATTACTTATAAGCTACTAACACTAGGAATATTTTTTGTATAATAGTTGTTTTTCACAAAAATCAGATTTGATTTATGACCAAAATTTGAATAAAATAAAAATATCAATCCTTCACAATATTTTAAATCCCAATGATAAGGAAGTCAATTTGGAAAATTGTTTTCACTTTAGGAGAATATAATTTTCCATTTGGAAAATTTAAAAAGTGAGACGCGCAGGATTCGAACTTTTTTAAAAGTTGATTTAAATGAATTTTAGTGTGGAATATAAGGATAATATCATATTTAAAATAAGAATATACTAGTTTAGGTGGTATTAATTTTTTCGATAAATTTGAGAGTATGTACGTTTAGGGCATGAAAAGTGTCAATTCGCTCAGCGAAAGCTGAGCTAGCTTCGTTCTCGAAAGAATAAGGAAGGAGTGAAGGAGAATGATACAGAAGTTGACACATTCATATCATTTCAACAAATTTTGATCAAATTGAAATTCAATAAAATTCAATTCAATTCATATCCTTCAGTCAGTACATTGATATCCTTCTGCATCACAATGATAACTCGGGCATCAATAGTTCTACAACTAACTCAGAAAAAACAAGATTATTACTTCCTGCTTACAGCTTTTAAAAAGTTTCGATGATAAAAATCACTCTACTCTCGTTTATCGACATATGGTGATAGTAGGTAAACATATTCTTATCGATATTAATAAAAATATTTGTACGAAAATCTTATCCAATTAGAGAGTTATTCATAAAGTATATGATAATTATAATTACTTTATCTTTGTTTTATCTTTGAATAAACAATTTAATTTAAATTGCATAATATTTTTTGGTTGAAAGACAGGAAACTTAGTTGAGTTTGTATTATTTTTATCGTTTAATTCATCGTATCAGTGAGTGATCCAGATATTTAAGATATTTAGAAAAAAATTATTAATTTGATTAACAAATTTTAATCAAAATAGCAAAAATCTATTTGATAGCTGTAAACAAACAATAATTTTTATTTCAAGCAAAATCACTTATTTTCATCTAAACGTATAAAATTGTCAATTTTATGAAAATAAATTGAAAATCTCATGAAATGTAAAGGAGAGTAATATTTTTCAATTTTCTTTTTTTTTTGTCTCAAATATTTTCTGTTGGGAATTTTCTTGTTATCAAAAATAATTTTAATATTTGTTTTATTTCATTACATACAATAAAATTTTAAAAACTCTATTTTTTCAAGAAAATTTTTTCCTTCATATGAAGAAACATTTTGTTCTCCATTTGATACTGAGTCTAAATCTCGATTTTTGAATTTTCTTCTTTCCAAATTTCTTTTTTCCAAATTAGAAGTTTAATTCAAATTTTCAATAGTTTATATATTTTCTCAAACCGTCTCAGATTTTCTCACTTTTTAGGGATTTTCTCTCAAAATATACAAAAATAGTAATATCAATACATGTGTCTAATATACTTTAAAACCATCGTGACAAAATTCAAAAACGAAGAGTTCTTCTCTCCAAATTTTTTTCAAAATCAAAAAAATGAGATAAAAAAGTACGTTTGGAAAATTCATTTTTAGAATTTTAGGAATTTTCTCACTTTTCTTCCAAATTGACATCCTTACCAATGATAAAAAAAAATTACAAAAATGATTCTACAAACTCTATAGTCTTTATTTAATTAATTTATACTTCACCAGCTTGGATTTTATCCAATTGTTTCAACATTTCATCTCTTTTACCGAAATCTGATTGAGACATTGCAATTTTTGCGTCTTTTTTCGCCCAGAAGACGTTCATCTTCTCTTTCATTTCGCTCTTCTCAACTTTCAACTCTGTGAACTGTTGGCCGATCTCTTTCTCGATTTCTTGTTCAATTTTCTTTTCTCTTCCGGAAACAAAGAGAATTGAACGACCCTCGCGACCAGCTCTTCCTGTTCTACCTGCTCTGTGCACGTATGTTGCTGCATTTTGAGGTGGATTGAAATGAATAACATTATCAACAAAAGGAATGTCCAAACCACGAGCAGCTACATCTGTTGCAACTAATATCCTCTGTCTACCAGCTCTGAACTCTTCTAACTCCTTAAGACGCTCGGATTCTTGCATATCTGAGTGCATAACGGCTGTTTTGTAGCTAAAGTTACGGAGAATCAAGGTAATAGTCTGCGCGGCCTCTTTGGTTGATGCAAATACAATAACTTGCTTGTAAAGGTCTGCTTCCATAAGTTTTTGGATAATAATCATTAAATATACTTCTCTTCCTTCATCTTGGACGAGAACTTTGACGTGCTCAATCTTTGGCTTAAGATCATCTGTTGGCTCCCAATAGAAAGTCAATTTATCATCACTAAACCATGATTTTCCAACTGATGGAAGCGGACATGAACTTGTAGAAGGTGGCTTGGTCATAATTGTAAGAAGATCAACTTGGTCACTCTTTGTGGCTGAGAAACAAAGCGTCTGGCGCTTCTCTGGTAAGTATTTGATGATTTCAAGGACATCATCCCAGTAACCATCCTTAAAAAGACGATCAACTTCATCGAGGACGAGGTATTGAAGGTTATCGAATGAAAATCTAGTATTTCCTTTAGAAGCACTTCGAAGATGATGTAAAATTCTGCCTGGAGTAGCGACAACAATATGTGGATTCTTCTCTAATGCTGATGCTTGATCTGTAATTGCTAATCCGCCTATAATTGGACAGATGTCTGCGTTCATTCCCCTTCCAAAAATCTTAAATTGTTGACAAATTTGCTGTGCAAGTTCTCTTGTTGGACTGATAACGAGTGCGTATATTCCATATGGATCTTTTGATAATGTTGATATAATTGGAAGTGCAAAAGCAGCTGTCTTACCTGTACCTGTTTGAGAAATAACAATGCAGTTATGACCTGTGATAATTTGCTTAACACAAGCTTGCTGTACTGCTGTAGGCTTTGATATACCTATTTCTTTGCATGTTTGATATATAAATTCTGGACAACCAAGCGAAGTAAAAGGATTATTCATTGTCACTTTTTCTAAAATCAAGATTTTAGTCCTCTGAAAAGATTTTTGATTTTCAAATTTATTCATATGTTGAATTAGGCATTATTCCTGGGGATAATGATATGTTAGAACCAGAAAGATTATATATTAAGATTTCATATCCTAATATCAATTATCTTCTTTAATTCTATCAAACTAATCTTGAAAAAATCGAATGTTAGCTAGATATCTCCGCCTATTGATCAGCCGAAACCAAACTACAGAATATCCTTAATCATGAGCAAATCCAAATAAAATCCAATTTCGAATATTTCACTTTCAATGAAAAAGTATTAGAACATATAATTCCAAACATAGAAGCGTATCCTCGCCGAAACATCCCATCGCATATTGATGCCTTCGGGGGATAAAAAATTTTACGCTTTAGAATATTTTTTGAATATATTTATTATTTCTAGAATGTGATGTTAATAACCTAAAATTTGAAGTGTTTGTCAGAAGTTTACAATTTATTTGAAAAATTAACAAAAATTTCAAATGAAATCGTTTATGAGTTGCTATCAGGAGATTCGTTTTACCCGGCGCCGCTCACCAACGGTTTCTGATCATCAAATCAAGAATAGTGCTCCTCTTTTTATCTTTTCCGAAGAGGTTCAAGATGAAACTGACGAATTATACGGAAATAATACATTTTTCTGTTTAGATGATAACGATACAGATTCTTTTAGTTCCCCTTCAATAAATTTTCATCGTAGAACTCCAACAGCACCAAACTTAATTCATCTAACAACAAATGAAAAATCAACAATATTAAAACGGCCGATACAACCTATATTCGAGAATAATGATAATATATCCTTATTTCCGGAATCATTTCAACCTACTCCAAAGCCTGAGGACTTTTGCGTTTCACCTTGTGAAGCATCTGAAGAGTTTTCAAGCTTAGTTAATGATAAGAATATTACGTTTTCTCCACGAGAATTGGGATTTATACCCCGTCGATTTTGGCCAAATGAACGAATTTTGCTTAGAGATTTAGTCACAGATTATTTTCGAGCTGACCCGAGCCCGAATTCAAGATTTTCTCACAAGCTCTACAATGCATTGCAGATTGTTAAGAAAGATCCTTTCTATTTCCTTTTATTTGGCGTTGAATGGATGAATGAAACTGTTCTGAAGGTAAATGGGCCGTTATTTTCATGCGTTCTTGGTCTACAGAATTATAAATACAACCTATTCAGTCAAAATGGCCAAATGTCCATTCACGGGTTTATAGAATTAAATGAGAAGGATGCTTTAGCTTATTGCAATGCAGAAACATTACAAGACATAGATTTTAATGATTTCAGACTATTCCTTCATAAAGATGGCATCTTTAATGCCAATTCTAATGAAAATGATATATTATCTTGCCGATGGGCAAGAGCGAAACGCGGATAACTTATATTACTCATATTATTAAATAAATTGTTTGTATTTTGATGTTAAAAAAAAAGAAATTATCTTATTTTTTTTTTTCTTTTAATCTCTTTAAGTATTCTTAAACTTACTCATATATGCAACCTATCCGTTAATATGTTTTGCATACTTTTTTAAATGGATATAAAAAATATTGAAAAATCGAATATTTAAATAAAAATGGAATTTTTAAACCATCAGCATCAACAAATGTTTCAAAAACAGTAAAGCCAAATGTCGGATAATAAAATCAGAACCAGCTGTAATCGAAATCAAAATCATTGGAAATATTGTCATCATTATCGCTTTTCGGTATATCAGAAAATGGATTTTGCTCAGATGGTATTGCGAGATCAGAGCTTTGAGTCTGTGGACCTGGAATTGTTGAATTAAAGCTTGGCTGATTGAACGGTTCAAAATCATCAGGTACAAGTTCTGGTAAATGCAACTGTTCTGTTTCTGTTGTTGGTAAACTAGCTTGCTGAAGGAGTTGTTCTTGAGTGATGGCTGGAGGACCAATTTGAACTGCTACATCACTGATTCTTTGCAATGATGTGGATTCAGGTGTCCAATAGTACTGCAACAAGTTTCGACAAGCCTGTGAGTAATCTGTGCCTATGGGATATGCTGTCTGACCTGGATGACCAATAAATGTATCGAACCTCTCTGTGTGGAGAGTCTTTGAGTTCTTCCCTAAACAGATAATGGATCCGTAAACGTTGCCATTGCTTGATCTATTGACTTGTGCAATACGTGGACGTAGTAGCGCTTTCTTGCCCATTTTAAAAAATGATTTTGACATTGGATATTTTTTGAAATAATTTCAATAATATTCAAAAATTCAATATTTGTATAGCAACTGATTTTCACATTTAAAATTATATGTTAAAATACCATGATTGATATTATTTTTTAATTTTGTAATTGAATGTGTTCTCAATTTATTTATTTTATAAATTTTCTGAAAATTGAAACCGCTATTCGAGAGGGCAAAAAGCTTTCAAAATAGTATTTTGAAATTATATCTTGAAATATCAAATATTACCTAACATATAGATTTGTAGTGGAAACATCAACTGTTACAGAAGAAATAAGAAATTTGGTAAATAAATTTCAAATTCGCTTTCAGGTATACTACTCATAATTCAGCCTTTATCTCGTGATAAAAAATCAGCAAATAGCATTTATATTCTTTATTTTTATAAATAAATAAAAATAAAATATCAAACAAAAATATTTAACTATTTTCTCCTTAATCTCCTCTTGCTATCAGCCAGCTTAAAGCCTTTAATAGACAATTTGCATTCTTCACATTTCGGAATTTTTAATAGATGCGATAAATCTCTTTCAAAAACATGTGCAAAATATGGACCAAAAGCACAACCATCCCAACGATTCATTTCGGGATTTGGAGATCTGTAAACATCTTTGCATCTTGGACAGTAAATTAAGCATGGAGAGACTCCATACTTTGTAGACATACCATAAGGAATACATTTTTGACCATTACAAGCTATTCTCGGGCATTTTCCATATGCTCCCTCTTGATAACTTTCATAAATCTGGTATAAACCTGATTCTGTATATATATATCTGGCATGTATAAGCATATAAAGCTTTTGAAGTTCTCTATCGGTTTCAATTGTATATGGCATATCCTCAGGTTCTGTTCCGCGAAGAACTTTTATAAGATTTTTATAGTTTTTTACTTCATCAGATAATCCATTTAAGTTGAAATCATCTCCTAAGAAAAAATTATCAACTTTCGCAATCCAATCAAGATTTTCAGTGTGCAAAAAATCGCCAATCCAATCAGAATAGTAAGACGATGAGTATTCAGATTCATATTCCAAAGAATTGGATTCTTCTTCCTCTTCGTAGGATTCTTCTTCGTAGCAAGATTCGGCCATTTTTTTTACTTGAGAAAAAAATTGCCTAATGATCTAAGCATGGTAAAATTCTATCGACATGCAAAATTAACTTTAACAACTTGGCATCTTGCTTAATTTTAAGCAGATAGGTTGGAAATCATGAAAAAGCGCTGGATTACATCAATTAATTACTCATTTACCTAAATTTAAGAGGAACTGCAACACATAATTCCTGACATGTTTTTATTATATTGATCATCATAATTAAGATGTTCAGAACCAATAAAATAGATATTATATTTATTTCTATTTTCAACTTAATCAAAATAAAGAATAAATTAGCTGAAAAAACTATTTCCATTTTCGATAGCAATTGCATATAAGAATGATATATCTTATGCACCAGGAAGAAATAAGTTTCTTTAAACATTCAGATTGGCTTATCTTATAGATATTTCGTATGAGTATTAGCTGCAAATACATAAATTTATTTAAACTATTTTCCCACAAATAATGTTTTATATAATTTATGAAAAAACACAATAATCCATAAAGGGTATATCTCATTTGGAGGAAGCCAATCTATTATATTTATATTTGAGACCAGAAACTTGAGAGAAGAAATGCGAGAATGACATTCCAAAAAAATAAAAATATAAAAGTGACAATTTTACTTTCAATGTCACAATCACAGTCAGTTGAATTTTCTGCTCTTGTTTATGGCTCTTTTGTTGCCTCTCTTCTTGAGATGACAGAAGACGTTGAAGAAGTTAACAAAAAACTTGATGAAATTGGATACCGTATTGGTTTAAGGCTTGCACATGATTTCGGTCGCGATGACAGCCTTGAACGCATTGATACCCCAGATAAAGTTGTTGGTAATGTCATAGAGAAGAAGTGGCCATCACTTTCTCATTCAAATAAACAAGTTCAAACACAAGTCGATGGAAAAAACATTATTCTTACATTCCCACCATCAATATTCACACAAAATGTACAAATTCCAGAACTTTATAGTGGTGTTCATTTTACTGGAATGCTTCCAGGAATTTTACGCGGCATTTTTGAAATTTTCCACTTTAGAGTTAATACAACACTCCTCGAGCAATCAGAACAGGTAGGTACAAAAGTTCAGATTGAGGTTGTTGAAGAAATACCAATTGCTGTTCCAAAGACCGATGACTAAAATTTTTATGATTATTTTTTTGTACATTAAAGCAAACATAGCCTTAAATAGCAATGAATTATTGAAATCTTTACGATAGTTGCTTAGTAAACATTTTACCTTTCAAAATTGAGAAAACAATTTTTACAAATATAAAAATTTACTAAAGCATTTCATCGAATAACAGTTTTGATACAATTTATTAAGATTTCAATCATATTAAGAATGATTTAAAATAATTATTTTTTAAAAGAAGAATATTTATCTTAATTGAATACTTTTCCTGATACCTATGCAGTTTAAGACATGATATAAATGTGCTCACATTAACAATAGCAATAAAATCTAAAATTGATGAAAAATGCAGAGAAATCTGGCCATCGTGGAATGAAAGCTTTTACACGACGAGTCACAAATCAATATCTTTCGTAAAAGGACCTGCTACTACTAAATTACCAATTTATACAGAAATTTCAGAGCAAGTTCACGAAGATAAGAAAATTCAGAATAATTTTAAGAATAATGATCAAATACAAGTTGAAGTTACGACCCAAAACCCCGAAGCGCAACAACTTGTTAATGAAGTTGATAGCATCAATAAATCATTGAAGATTTCATAAATTATAAACCAATTATCTTTCCATTTGTCTGTTTAACAGAATTATCAAGGTGCGGTTGCACCCTACTATATATTTGTCTTGAATAGCATACAACATAGACTTCTAAACCAGATTTTTGAATTAGATCTAGGTTCTTGTTGATTTGCTCACAAATGCGATCTATTGGATTATTGAATACACCTCCTCCAAGTAAAGTTAAATAGAGCTTATTTGATCCTGCTCTATTTGGATATTTGATTGAATTATCCCATGCTTGAAGGATTGTGGCCTTGTACTCAGCTTCTAATAGGTACTGTGATAATTTAGAAGTAAAGGGCGTTTCAACTACATTACTAGCAAAGTTCAATGCTGCAGCATATATGTGATGAGTAATTTGTTGCATGTTTGTCTTCATCATTCTACCACGAAGCATAGATGTTGTCACAGTAAGGTTGCTGTGAGATCCTACCTTGTAATGATTTAGATTATTCCAATCAAAATTAGAATTTTGCAAATAATTTGCTTGTTCATTATCAATTAATGGGTAACCACCCTTTACATGTATTGGAGTTTCATATAGTAAGTTTATTTCTTGATCAAATTGACCTTGCTTCCCATTAATTTCGACAAAATAGTTTCTATAGAGAGCTCCTGGAGCACAAGCAATAGCACAATATGGACCTTGTGTTGGATCTGCTTCATAGCATGTAATCCCATCATAAGCAGTTTGTCTGGAACTTGTAAACTCTAGGCAATTGAAATTAGAGGCAGCTAAAAATGTTGCTCCATCATTCTCTGGGATTGATTGAGATGCAAGAGAGTCAACAGGTGAAAATCCATTTCGGTGAATTTTTCCACCTAGAATAATATTAAGTGTTCCATCATTTCTATCTTCATGTTTTGGAATATCTTCAATCCCAACAACTTTGAACTCACCAGCTGAATAATTCTCGTTTAAGATTTTATTATACATCGAAATTGACCCATCATTGTTTTTGATGACATCAATATTCTTACGAACGTTCTCGAGAGACTCTTTAAAGCCGAATACTAACTTGAAATACGTCATCAAAAAATGTTCTGAAAAAATCAAAGGCGCTCTCAATTTGAATTCTGCAAAATCTGAATCTTTAAAAAGAACGGAACTAATGGAATGAAGAAATTGAATAAAAATGAAAATTTGTTATTTGGTCGGAATAAATTAAGCCGTCAAAATAATATTTCTGGCACATTTCCCAGAGAGACTCAGTAGAAAAGCTATACACTTTACTAACTGGGAGATCAAGAACAAAAAGGAGGTGAGATGTGACTGAAAATATAATCGTTCTGATCATTTTGGTGGAATTTCATACATTTTTGAAAATTCAGAGTTTTCATAAATAATGAAGCATATGATATCTTTTTTGATGAAGATACATACAGAAAACATCCAGTATTATCTTATTGTTTATGTCTTTCGAGGATCTGAATGAAATTTATGGTCGAAAACGAGCAATTGAGATAATAGACAAATCTTGCTTCCTAAAAAAGTGACAAAATTGATGTGCGACTGACAAATAAACTAAGAAAATATTAATATAGGTAAATGTGATTAAATTTATGAGTTGTTATTGGTTGTTCGCCATCTTATAGCGGAGAAATATATAGTGAAAGCAGAATTTTTTTTTAATCTCAAAACTTAGTTTTGAACCAAATAGTCAAATTGTCAATATTAGCATTTGGAGTTTTCACGGATCATTTATAGAAATATTCAACCTTTAATGAGTCAATCTTTCAATCTTGCTCTAGATTGAATATAGTTGTTCTTCCTCCATTTCTCTCAACCATCTGTCAATTTTGCTTTAGTAACACAAATCTTTCTTCATTTTTATATGAGAAAAGAAAATGCTTTAGTAACCCAAGTCTTTCTTCAATTTCAATAAAAAGCTAAATAAAACATGAAAAAATCTAAAAATGCTCATAAGGAGACTTCTGAAAACGAATCTTATGGATTTGATTGAAAGTTAGAAAAATATTAAATTATTTTTTTTCACAAATATTTAATTCAAACAAAACAAATAGTATAAAAATTAAATTGATGCCATCATTGACATCAGCATTGCCTTCTTTCCAGCAAATATTTTCCGATGAACGGAATTATCAAATAAATCTGCAACAGAAACAATTGCGTAAAACATATCTTCTTCGGTCACTTCAAGCAGCTGCTTTGCAATCTCTAACTGCGAATTTTGGAGAAAAGCAACCTCTCCTAAGCTTTTTATGTATTCAAGAAGTACAATTCCCTTGGTTACGAGTAAATCTACTGTTCTTTCGCAAATTAAATTCGAAACTTGTGGAGATGATGAAATAATTTTTGATACAATGGTAGTTGTCCAATGACAACGAGTAATTTGACGTGTAGTATAAGTTTCGAGGTATTTCTTCATGCGTTTTCCGTTTTCTGAGTTATCATTTGGATCAAAATCTTTAAATATGTCATAATATCTCTTTTGAGATGTAATATCAGGACTTATATAGACACTCTTTGTTTTTAGTCTTATCCAAGTCCACGATCTTTCGAAATTCAGCATTTTTATCATTGAAATTGTTTCTCTTTCTTTTACGATCTGTAAAAATAGCTCTGGTTGCGGTTCGTCTAAAAGTAAGGTCGAACTGAGTGATGCTTGGGATTTTAATAAAAATTTTGAAAGAAAACTAAATAAAGGTTCAGCTTCTTCGAACGAACTTGCTTCTATGATTGTAACCATCTGGGAAGTAAGATGGGAAAATAGTGCTGTGGCATAAAATAGCGAATCTTGAGGTAAAATCCTTGGAATAGGAAAATTTGTTGTAATTCCTGATTTCATCAATGTTTTGATCTCATTAGCAAGTTTTTGTATGTAATGTGTTGCTTCGTGAATAGGTTGCTTGGCCTGAAGCGTTATTTTTATTTTCATAGCTCCATCTGTTGCTTTTTTCAACAAAGGGCGTAAAATATCAAGATTATTATGAATCTTATCATGTTGTAAGAATAATCCGTAAATATAGAATATTGTTTTTTCGTTAATTTTGATTCCAAAAATTGCACATATTAAATAACAGTTAAATTGATGTATTTCCAACGATATTGGAATTATTTTGTTCAAAGCAGTATCGTTTTGTCTGTGAACATTTCCTAACACAATTTTATATAGACTAGATTGAGGAACTGTTCCTTTTGAGGGTAAAAAGTCCCATTCGAATATCTTTTCAATGCCTTTCAACAAATCATATGATGCAATACCCATTCCAAGAAAAGGATGGTCCTCTGGAAAATTTAGTACAACATGTTGAAGCATTTCTGATAAAATGTGACAAATCCGATCGGTAAAGATTATTTTATATTGTGAAAATATATTTCTTATACCATAATAGATATTTTTGTAAAACATTTCAAATTGAAGTTGAATCGAAAATAATCGTTCTCAACCAACAAATTTCTTACAAATCAGAATTAAAAGTGAATGCTAAATCAAATAGTTTTCATTACACTTACATTAATAATGAGAATCTACTAATTATTTGACAAAAATTCACGAAATGAATACTAAAATCATTCAAGGAAACTCATAATCATTCGATTTGTGCAAGGATATCACAACTAGTTCGAGCTTTTTTTCAATTTCAATGTATTTGGTCACTAAACATATTTAAATCAGATAATTGTTGATATTTTTACTTCATTTTCAGCGTTTAAGTGAAATTACATGATTAAAATTGTATAAAAATCTTTGAAATTGTCAAAAAGTAAAAAGTCGTTATCATATCATCAATATTTTTACAAATATATAAAATCTATTTTTTAGTATTGTTAGGAACAGAAGGTTTTGCTTTATCTTCGGTTGCCCTTTCGTGCCTAACAACACTCTGTAATTTAGCAACAATATCTAATATTTCTGGAGTTAATTTCTCCAATTTTTCCTGTGGCTTTTTAATTTCATTCAAATTCAAAGGCGGAATCAAAGCAACTTTCACATTTCTTTTATCTTCACGCGGCTTTTCATTATTGTATAACTTCTTTGGATTGACTTGGTATCTTCTTCTGAGCCAATGACTTGTCATTACACCAATCAAACATGAATACCAACAAGCTGTGCAACTCATAGCTTCTTTCTCTTGTTTAGTTCCAACTAATATTTCTATCATGTCTCCGGCATCAATCAAAACATTGTGGGAATTCTTACAAACAGTTTTCTGGAGCAGCTGACAAACATAATATGCTTCCCATTGATATTCGTAGTTCAAATTCACTAAAATATCACAAAGCCATAAACATTTGTTCATGTCACTTTTTACATCCATTTGGGCGTAAACTTTTGAAACTAAATTGGTCATTATATCTTTTCTTAATAAAGGATTCTTTGTCAATGTAAATAAATCAGTAAATCCAAGTCTCCTGATGCTTTTATCCTCAGAAAACGCTACAATAAATTCATAAGATTGGTCAATTCCATCAGAAATTCTTGTCTTCAAAGCACCTTCAAAACTTGACTCTTGGCACTTTTTAATTGTTTCAATTGCACTTTTATAGCATTCAGTACTTGATAAACAGGCAATAACAAATGGAAGAACTTCATGAGCATTGATTAAACCGTTTGACAATCCGATAGAAACTAATTTGAGAGAGTCTGTTCTGACAGTTTTATTTTGAGATTTAAAACAGTTTGTAATATTCTTAATGAATTGTGAAATCAAAGGAGCTGCAGAGTTTCCTTTCATTTCATCGAATTTCTCTATTTTCACATCCATTTTGTTTTCTTCGACCATTAACTTAAGAATGAAATCCAATGCATCTTCATCATCTCCTCTTTTGAAAGCCATTTGAACAAGATTTCGAGATACACGTAATTGACTTGAATCTCTGCAGCAAATATCAACAAAACTCTGTAAAACTCTTTTGCGAATCAATCTTGAATCGCTCATGTAAAATCTTCCTAAAATAGATGCAACTTTGTTGATGTTTCCTTTAGGAGTTATCCAACCAATTAATTTAAACAAAACACCTGTGACAAAAATCGCTCGAAGAACTTCATTTTCTTCAATTTTCTTTCCACCAAAGCTCAACAATAAAATATCAGCATAACTACTCTGCAAAGTTTCCAAAATATTATCATCAGGACAAATGTTATGAACAATGGAAACAATCAGTTCCAAACATTTTCTAACAACCGTTGTCCATCTCGTACAAACAAGACTTTCTAAATGACTTAACAACAAAGAGAAATTAACAATGGATGGGAATAATATAAATGGAATAATTGATAGTAAACTGTCCATTAGAAAAGTGACAGAAATATCGGTTTCGGCGGTTAAAATTGCCGTTATAATTTGTTCATGTTTATCTGCAGAACAATTCGGCAAAACTGATACGAAATTGTATAAAATCATCGAATTCAAATCATTAGTTTCTTCTGTCACTTTTTCAATTACTTGGTCGACCACGGCCTTCATTTTTTCTGGGAATTTTACGTAGCATTCTTTTACAAAAACAGTCCACCATTTGTCATTCTCTATATCAATGTTTTTGCTGATTTCGTAAAAAATAACAAATGGTGAAAATGAAATTTCAAAAAGTGAAGTGACCAAAAGTGACTTTGCGGCGGTTTTGACAGCTTTTGTTTCATCATCCAATTTAGACACCAATATCTTTGACAATTTCATTAATTCTTCTTCTGTTGCTTTTTGAGCCAAATTTCCCAAAGTTACCAAACTTTTTCTGACAATTGAAGGAGAACTGTCTTTTAATGAGTCAATGATCAAAGGAAAATAAGGGCTTTTTATCTGTTCATTCTTCTCTATATACGAACTAACAATATCTAGAACGGCATCCCTTATCGATGAGCATGGATCGACAAAAGCTTTCTCAATTAAAGGAATCAAATCTGGATGATACAAAAATTGAGAATTCATCTCAACAATGGAACTAAATCCTTTCAAAACCATTCCACGCATTGTGGAACTCGTATTAGTCAAACCTTTCAATAATCTATGAATAATCTCCATGACAGAGTTAAATATTAAAAATCTTTGACATAAACTGACATATAACCGTTCTACCTCTGAAAAATTGAGAGAAAAATCTGACACTTCAGGAATTTGATTGTGCCACCATTGGTCGAGGTAATCGGACTCTGTTTGGTCCATGTTTTTGAGTGATGACCAATGCGAAATGTTGCAAATCGAAGCAGTGTCAAAAGTGTCAATTAATTTGAAGAAATTTTTGACAAATGTCAAAACAACAAATTCTGCAATTAACCTTTCTTTTTCATTCTCAGGATATTTGTCGGTTACATTTATTTCCGATAAGTCATTTATCTGCAAAATTCTCATGATGTTGTAATTAATTTTTATCGTCATCGGAACCAAAAATTTTTCTCGAAAAGCAAGAACCGAAGAAAGACCTTTACAGAAGGAATTTATGGCCACTCTTGTAAGTTTCGTCTTCTTTGTGATATGCTTGTACATCATATTAAGCAAATAAGGCAAAACAGAGATTGATGAAGGATATAATGGATGTGATAAGCAAGAAAATACGTCATTAGCGAACATTTCCGTGTATTTAGGTGGTAGTTCCTCGAGTCTGTTAATAATATCTTGTATAATGTCAATGTTACAGCAATCAATCGTATTTGGATAAATTGAACAGCTTTGAATGATGTCAAACAGGAGAACTGAGAATGCATTGAGTCGTACTCGATCTGTTTTGTTGAAAATAAGCGATTTCTGGTTTCCTGTCTTCCTTTCGATACAATAAAAAATATCATTTAAAATTTGAGTCCTTTCGAGTTCGTATCGTCTGAATATAGATGATATAAGCGAGCATGATGCTGTTTGAAGAGGATTTGATGATGCTTCATTGAAATAAAATTCAATTGCGATTGAAACAAAAGAACTTAAAAATGAATCAGGTAATGCACATCTGTCAATGAGTTTGGCACAAAGGCGTATGATTGGGAACATTTTATGAAGTGAAAGGTTGTTTTCTTGAGTTTTGATAAAATTATCACTGCAGAATTTGAAAATACTTCTTAAAATGATGTTCATTTGAGATTCTTTGTAGAGTTGAGGTGGCATATCGTTTGAAGCATAAAAAGTTAGACAAATTTCAATAATATCGAACTGAAATTCTTCTGATTGTTTAATAAAATTGCTCTGATTCTGTATAAATTTCGATATGAACTCTAGATTTACTTCTGATAGCTGCTTTATTCGATATAATTCATTAACATGTGTACTTATTTCTCTAACCATTGAAGTTGTTAATGTTTCAAGTTCACAGTATTGCTTTAGTATCTCTGTGCATCGTCCAGCTGGACTTACTAAGTTTGTTTCGTTTTCAACTTTAGGAAGATCAGCGGACAATTTTAAATTTGTGACCCGACTATCATTGGCTGAGCAAAACATTAGTATTTTACCATAATTTGGATATGATTGAATGAATTAATATATAAAAATGTGACAATAATTCAAAATCAATGAATACAAAACTTGTTATCCCAAAAGGCTACAAAAATCTTCAGGACTTCTTACTTCATTATCGAAAAGAAGAAAAACCCACTCATACGACAATAAATAATACTCCAAGACAAAAATTCAATAAAAAAATTAAACCTCCTTCAGATAATATCGATGATTTTAAAGTCCAAATCGTAATGTCTAATGTACCAGACGAATCACCAGAAATTCTTCATTTTTCAGAAAGAAATTTTTATGAAAGAGCACAAAAATCCAATATCAATCCAAAATTTTTAGCTGACCCATCACAACTTTCATTCACTAGTTTATCTATTTGCTAATTGCTGTTTATTACCAAAAAATATCAAAAATACCAAACAAAAATTTAAATTCATAATAGTTTCTTTGTGTGTAGATCTTTTACTGCTGAGAGATATCAATTTAATGCACAAAAAAAAAACATTTGTTATCGATTTAATAGAAAAAATAATCTAATATACAACAAATAAAACTATAATACTAGGTGAAATCATTCTTTTATTACGAATAAGCAAGAAGTACTTAATTTATTTTATTATTTGAGATTTTTAAATGTAAATATCTCAAAATTCTTATTATTGTTATTGAGATTCTTGTCTAGGTGTTTCTTCAGGAGTTCTGTGTGGAAGGGGAACAAAGTTATATGGAACTGCACCTACAGCTTGAGATTCGATATTACAGTCATCAAATCTCCTGTTAAACTTCATGAAACCTTTTATATCATTTGTATTTTGTGATAATATATTATTATTTTCCTCACTGTAAACTTCTGATCCAGTAACCATTAATGAGCCATTTAAACCTATTTGATCATCGTTTGAATTTATTAATTTCCAATTATCTGCGCACATGCTGCAATCATTGTATGACATTCCTCAATCAATTCCGAAATGTGGTATCACCCACCACCAACGTTGGAGTTGTTTCTTATACATACTATCATCAGCTGACAAGTTCAACCGACCCTGCCCCCAACCAATGATTGTTACATCTAGCATTCCAAGAATTTCACCCACACTCTCTCGAGTTACATTATTTCCTTCCCAGTAGCTAGAGTAAACACCATCCTCATAGCTAAATAAAGATTGGTAGACAGTTATAGAAGAAGTTACAGCACCAACTTCCCAAAGGTGTGATTTGATCCATCTCCAATTGTAAAGGAAATATATCGGATATCCTGTCTCTGGATCTCCTGGATTACAACTTCCTGTTAATGCCCAATGATGCTTGCAATTTGTTAAACCTGGATAACATCTGTTGTTTTCACAATTTTCTCTTTTGAAATCTGCGCGTGGTGCTTGCATGGAATTTTCTCTTTCTGAATTTGAATTTCCTGGTTTATCCCAACTCTCGAAGTCCGGAGGATGATATGTCCAAAATAGCTGGTACGCATTAAGCGGCGTACGCTCAACACATGAGTCACCGAGAATATCACAGTCAAGAACGAATTGAAGTGAGAAGTTGACGAACTGACCAGCCCATGAGCTGCATCGAGAAACAGAAATTGACATTGCAGATGTAACAGCAGGAGCCCATGAGCTGCATAACTTTGTGACATCATAAACAGGGAATACTATAGTTGTTCTATTTGGTTTAATTGGACTATCCAACTGATTTGAAGCATTGTGCCACTCTGGAAAAGCTGCAATGTTTGTGAGACCTGTGATGTAGCTTTTATCAACAAAGTTAAAGAAGTATTCGTTGGCTCCAACTGGAATTGCTGAACCTTGATGATGTTTTGGAGGTCGAACGGGTGATAAAAAACGTTTGGCTTGACCAATAGTCATCCCTGCAAACTTCGGATAGAGAGTTGCCTTGAAAGGTGAGTTAGAATTGCTGTTAATTGCATCAACCATCTCCTGGGTGATGAGAGGATCAGAATCCTTTAAAGATCCAGCTAAGAAGATATAGGCAAACATTTGTCAGATCGACCGATGTAAAACTTTTTCTTTTTGAAAAGAAATGGTTGAAGTCCTTTAATAATGCAAACATGGTTTAATAATAGTGCAATATCTATATGAAATTTAGATTCATTATAGAATAAATATACATGCATATCAATTTACGCTGTAAAATACCTTTTTTACTTAATATAAAATTTAAAAACTTTGTCAATTTTCACCGAATCTCATATCGATTGAAATGTCACATCAAAGACGATCTTTTACATTACTAATATGAGTTACATCACATAGAAATTAAAATCATTTAAAAAAGATGAATGAGAAAAACTGTGTAATTTAGAATATATATGGTTTATTAAAACAAAATCTCTATATTAATATAAATTATTTTTGCTTTTCAATAATTTTTCTGAAATGATCTGCAGAAACTTTTTCAGAACCACTATATAAAGCAACAAGTGCTGCTTCTCTGCATATATTATCTATTTCTGCACCACTTGATCCTATCTTTATATTCTTCACTGCGTAATCAAGAGCTCCTTCTTCCAATGGCATTTTTCTTGTGCAAACTTTCAAAACTTCAAAAATGTCTTCTTCGTTTTGTGCTGGCAAAACTTCGACAAGACAATCGAATCTTCCTGGTCTCATCAACGCTTCATCCAAAGCATCTGGTCTATTTGTTGCAGCAACAACGACAACATCGTTCAATGATGAAACACCATCCATTTCATTCAAAAATGTTGATAAAACACGTTCAGAAACACCAGTGTTTTGTCCTCTTTTTCCGACCATTGCGTCAATTTCATCGATGAATATAACTGAAGGAGATCTCTGTCTCGCGAGTTCAAAAAGTTCTCTGACAACTCTTTCTGATTCGCCGAGATACATTTGGAAAACAGATGCAGCGCTTATCGAAAAGAATGATGATGAAAGAGAGGTGGCAATAGCTCTAGCAATCATCGTTTTGCCACATCCTGGTGGGCCATGTAACAAAACTCCTCGTGGAGGTTTGACACCGAATTTCTGTAATTGGTCTCTTCTTGTTAATGGCCATTCTACGGCTTCCCTGACGATCTTCTTAGTGGCGGATAATCCACCGATATCGTCCCATCCGGTCTTCATTACATTCGAGTTGATAGAGCTTTGGCTGATCGAACTAAAAGCGTCAAAAAGAGTTTCGACACTTTTTGTTTTTGCGGCCAAAATCAAACTTGAAGCTGGAAGTCCGGCAGCGCCATCGATAACGTTCTGGGGAAGTGAATCCCCGAGTATTGTGGATACGTCCTTCGATGTAAGGGGTGGAAAAGCAACTGTTGAACCTAATCTGGAAGCGGATTGTAATCTGGATGGAATTGTGTCCTTTGAGAGAACAGTTAATACGAAGAAACAATCTTTGGAGGAATCTATTAATGATGAAAGGGATGATTCAAGTCTGCGCTGAAATGGAGTGTTATCTCCAGTAAAATGTGAGTCAAAATTCCTTAAAAGAACAATACTTTTAGGTATAAGACGTTGCTCAAGAACAGGGAATTCTAAATCTGTGGAATCGATGTTCTGGGCATCAATTTCTGTAAATGGAAGTTCTAGAGCGTCTGCAATCTGTTTTGTAATATATCCTCGGCCACTACCTTCACTTCCTGTGAAAATGATGCCGCAAGGATGTGGATTTGCGTAAACTTTTGTGATGATTTTCAAAATTGAAGGTGGTTTTTCGGCATTAAATATTGAAAAGCATGCGATTCGCTTTACTCTCTCAAATAGTTGATCGTAAGTTGGATAATGAACGATGTCATATGCTCTATTTCCTTGAATGTATTGAATTTTTGATGTAGGTGAGAAAACAAACCATTGAGGTGTCTTCATGTGACCTTCGATACTAACTTTGATTGTTTCACCTGTAATTATTGGAATAGAAACAATTGTTTCATTTACAAAAGCGTATCTGTGAGATCTGAAGAAAGATGATATCTGCTTTTCAATAAACTGCCATAGGCTTCCTTCGTATCTTGTATTTATCAATGTAATCTTTACCGTTGTTGCAATATTTAATTTATTCTCTGGAATTGGATAAATATAGCAGGAATCTCTGAGTTCTGCAAAAGGATTCTTTTTGACAAAAGGAATTGGAGGTAGTTCAAATGATGAGTCAATAATTGCTGATTCACTGAAAGCTTGTACATCTGGAAGAACTTCTATTGAATAAAATGTACCGTATTTATCTCTGATGACTGCCAATGAAGTCCATTTGCATGAAACAGCGTCCGCTGTATAAAATCCAATCTTTCCGCTGTTCATGTTCCCTTAAAATCAAAATAATCGTTTTCTTCTCAAATTATTTGTCGAAATTTAGGAAGCTTTTTATTCCATTCGGAACAAGTTTGAAAATCAAATTTTAGATCAAAAGGTACATTTAGTAGAGTATTTTAAATATTTTAAATAAAAGCATATATTTGCGCATGTTTATTGTTCAATTGAAAATCATTTATTAGCCTAAATAATCCAATTTATTATATACATTAGTCTATATTTGCTCACAATTCTTAAGTTAGTTATTGAACGTATTTTCTTGTTTATTATTGGTCACAACTCGTTTTAAAATTTCTAATTACATCATTTGAAAGAAGAAAGTCTTCTGTTTCTTGTAAATCAAGCATTTATGCCTCTTTGAAAGCAGTTTCTCAATGAATGTGAATATTGGCACCATGATTTACTAAATATCCTACAATCTCTAAGTTTTTCTCTCTAATTGCAAATTGAAGTGGAGTTAATCCATAAATATCCTTTAGGTTTATATCTGCACCATGAGAAACTAGTAGTTCTACTGCATCTTTATTACTCCTGATTGTAGCTTCATGAAGAGCGGTCCTTCGAATAATATTCACTGAGTTAATGTCTGAACCTTTTGAAATAAGAAGTTTCGCTACTTCTATAAAATTCAATATTATTGCATGATGGAGTGGAATACATCCATCAAAGTCTTTCTTGTTAATATCAGCACCGTGTGAGATAAGAACTTCTGCAGTTTCTTTACTATCATACAATGCACAATAATGAAGTGGAGTTCTCTCATTATTATCCTCCGTATCAAAATCAATTTTGTTTTCATTTAATAAAAACTTGCACAACTCAAAATTATTAGATGTAGCAGCATAATGCAATAAATTTGAATTTATGTTAGAAACTTTTGTTAAATCGATGCTTTTGTCCTTCAGGATTTCAAGAGCTTGTGGAAAGGCAGCAATCCATGGAATTACTGAATTTTTATCTTTCTCAAACAAAAGTAATAAAACTTTCAAGTTTAATGAATTGGTGATTGCTGTGATTATTGAATCTTCATTAAAATCTTTGGGTTTAAAAATATCTCTTTGAAAAATATATTCAGCAAAGCTATGGTTATGTCAAAGGACAATATATTCCAGACATTTTATGTCCAATTGATTATGCTTTAAACATTCATTAATAATATCAGTATTTCCTCCTAAGAAAGATAGTTGAAGGCATTTCTGTGTAATTTCGCAATTTAAACATGAATAAAGGAAAGTAAAAATGTTGACTGAGCCAAAATATGAGCTACTTTCAACCGGAGAAAGATTGTTAATACATGGAACTTGTATAGAAATGTCTTCCAAGGAATTTTGAGTTATATATTCTTTAAATTTCTCTATTTGATCATTCATAATAATGAAAAATATTTGATTTTCTTCTGGAAAAAGATTTGTTTTAAATTTGATATCTTTACCCTCTATAATATGTAAATTCATGGTTGTGTCAATGATTCGTATTTCTGATGCGCATGATGGATTTGTTGATAAAAATTGTTGAAGAATTTTGGTATAAAGCTCAATAGACCCATAGTTGCATAATATTGCCGTTGATATACTGTATATAATATTTGATAAGGGCACTTTATACTTAGAAATCATAATTCGATTGATCAGATTAAAAATCTCTTCAAAGGATTCATTTGATTTTAAGTGGTGAATCTTATAAAGTATTTCTATGAAATCATCGTATTGTTTCAAATACTCCCTACTCATATTGAATTAAAAAATTGTCACTTTTCTCAATATGAATATAGGCCAATTCGAATTTCTTAATAATAAAAATATTATTAAGATCATGGCAATTTGAAAACCAATTGGAAAATCGAAATATTTCGGATTTTGTTGTAAATTATAGTGATTCATCTCTTATTTTACTAATGTTTATTTGCTATTTTAGATGTCCATGTGAATTCAACCATTATTTAGTATATTTAGAACTTTAGATTTCAAATTGTCAGATTTTACAAATGATTTTGTTCTTCTGATTAGCTCAAGCATTGCCTCTACAACAATCAAAAGGTAAAAACAAAATGGACGAAAGCGAGTCTATACAAAATGAAAAGGTTTTAGAGCAATCAAAAGAAGAAAATGATTCTGATAATTTTGTTAGTGATAAAAAAGTTGAAGAACAAGCAAAAGCAGATACAACAGAAAATGAGGTTCAAGATAAAGATCAAAATAAAATAGGTACGGATGAAGATGATGGTTTTGAAGAATTTAAAGAGCGTATTCGTGCTTTAGGCCAAATCCAAAAGAATATTAACTTGAAGAAAGTTGGAAAGAAAATTAAGAAAGGTGTAAAAATTAATAAGCATCAGATCAAGAAAGCTTTTAAGAAGCTTGGGAAGATTTTTAACCCATAAAGTTTGATTGTTTAATTGAATATCATGGTTATTTCAAATTTAGTTACTAACTAATAAAAAATTATAAAAAATTTACAACATAAACATTAATATTTATTAATAAATCATATGGTAAATGACTTTAGCCCAAAGTTAGTTATCATCTAACATTGTTATTCCAAAATTGAAATTAAAATTGAATTTCTTTATATCTGTACCTACTGTAGCGGTAGTTATAAAGTTATCGTTGATTTTATACTCTGTGTTTGCTATGACATTATTGCTTGTTGTGAAAATTTTTGCTTTTAATCTTTTTTCCATAAAATCTCTATAAAATCCAGCTGACAATCCTTTAGCAGCTTCATAGCACCAAAATATTTTTGAATTCTCCCAATGATGACTGAATCTGGCGAATGCAAAAATTTGATTTAGTTGTTGTCGTGTTGTGAGGCCAACTGTAGCATTTCCTCTACGTGTACGCAATTTGAGATATGTGTATGATGGATGTGTTATACCAATTGTAAGCTTTGGAAAGAGAATTTGAATTGCATATTTGATTTTTGGATCTTCAACGCTGAAATGGAAAGATTTAGCATTAACTGAATAATAGTAGCCGAAATTGATATCAGGATTTTTCCTTGAAATTGAATATTCAACAAATCTGTCGCCAAAGCCAAGATTCCATGAGCTGACTAAATTCGGATAAGTTTTTTGGATATACAGTTGTGCAGCCTTTTGTCCTAATCTAGCTGCTATCTTAAATGTATCAATATCAAATTTAAGTGTGCATGTGCAAAGCGTATTTGTATCATAACTTAAGTATTTTGAGTGCATACTCGCATTTTTATCATTAATGTTTAATGTTATGCCATCAGCTGTAAAGGCAAACCGATAATGATTTTCTGTATCGCCAAATAATTCGAAATTGTTCTTTTTATAATTAAAGGAAAGTTTGTTTGACTGAAGAGGCTCTACTCCTGATGGTAAAACATGAAAAGGAATATAAACATGTGGTTCGTAATCCATTTTTTAGAAAAAAAAATGATCGAAATTTTTTCGGCCAAAAAAACTACACTGGAATATAAATTCATCTTGCAAAAGCGTTGGTTTAAAGACCATTGATCTTTGATCTTATATTTTTCAATGAAAATGTTCCTAAATACAGTAATAGGACCTCTAATATTTGAATTGCAATGTTTTACATGATTAATCAATGAAATAACTGTGCAACTTTATTATTCATTAGTGATTGATATGCTTCCTCACTTTTCGATATATTGAATTCTTTTAATCTCTTATCAAATTGACCATCAAGTTGTATTTGAATATCGAGACATCTCGACATATATGTAGATGTTTAATCTGTTCAGATGCAAAAATGTTTCTAAACAATGGCGCTTCAAGCCAATAATAATATGGATTAAATATATTATATTAAGTTAAGCCATAGACACAATAAATTTATAATATGCATCTCAGAAACTCAAAGTCTAAACTTGTTTTTATGAATTTATTAAAAAAATATACAGAAAATCAAAAAAAACAGACAAATATGTTTAGTAATAACAAATGTCGTAAAACAAATAAGTATTCCGAATATATAACTGCTATTTTCAGCTCTTCAGTCTTGATAAAATCTATAATCCAAGAAATGTACGAAAATACTGTTGAAAATGAGCACAGCAACAAAAGCAATGACACTGTATATGATATCCTTATTTAATTTTCTGCCAAAACGGTCTTCATCGGTAACTCTTAAAACAGTCGGAATAATTGCGACAGAATCGTCTTTAGAGCTTGTAAGAAGGCCATCATACCATTGTATTTGGAACCATTTGAATCCATCTATTGATTTCGCGTTCAAAATGTAAAGAATTACAGTAACTGTTAAAAGGAAAGTAGATCTAATGCCAGATTTAGCGAGATAGCTTGCTGCCTTGTTGTATCTAACAACTTCCGGTCCGAATATAGTTACAACTGCAATAGAAATGAGAAGATAAACAATTGGAACAAAAACAGGCGGCAAAAAATTAAATACGTAAAATACCCAGCATCCGAAGCATACTGAAAGCAAGGCTTGGAAAATAGAGCTTGATCCTGATAAAATTGAAGAAATTGTAGTCATAATAAAGAAGAAACCAGCAAATATAATAACGAGAATCCACCCTTTGAAGTCAGCTCTAAGGAACATTAAGAATAAAATAGTCGTAAGCATGATGATAACACTTGGAGAGCCATTATCTGGACGAGAAGGATTTAGATCATTGCCATCCCATATTAAGCAGGCAGGAGAACGTGGCATTAAGTATTGAAGTAATATGCTAAAAACTGTAATGAAACTAAAGAAGAATAAGAAATTTAAAATTTGTAATCTTGATTTATTATAAAAACGCGTAAGATTTTGTTGAATACCAAATCCATACAGTCTGAAAAAGATAGGCATAATAATCAAAAGTTCAATTGCAATCCAATTCAATGAATCAAAGTGAAAAATCATTTTGAATGAAGCATAAAATGCTTTAAATACTGTATAAGACTCGCAGCATTTGTTGAACCAATCATCACCAATCCCATTCGTTAATCTCTGGTTATTCGACATTTTTTAGCAATATATTGTCACTTTTTTATATCTATTCTCACACAAGATTTTGCGTTTTCATCAACAAGCTTTTGTATGTTGCTGTATTACTTGCATTGTGGCAATAAATGTTTATTTTGCGGTTAATGTTTCAATAATTGCTGAAATTGATCAGGCATCTTTTTTGATAAAGCAATTTCATGCGATATTTGTATAACACCTAATAATGTCTGGCATATAATATTGAAATTCATAAATTTTATGCTTGGTTGCCGTTTAAACTCTAAAAATGCCGATTAATTTTGATATATTATAGTCATTAATCATGATTATATAGAGATATGTTAGTTGATATAGCAAAACTATATTTTGGTATTTACAAGCGTTATATTTAAAAAAATAAAAATAAAATTTTAAAAAAGTATTAAATAAACTGCAAATATATAATTTATTTACACAACAAAAAAGAATCTATGTTCTGCTTCAATAATTCTTTGAACCATTCTGATTTAATGCATTTTCTTTGAGCTTGCTGAACAACATCACGTAATTCTTTGGTTTCTTCTTTATCTCCTTCTGTATTCAATATTTCGAGAGCTTCCTGGAAAACCGACTTCAAATTCGTTGCAACATCTTCGATTTCGTATTTTTTAGATTTCTTTATAAAGGAAGCTCTCACAATATTATCAATTTTGCTCTCGTATTGGCCTTGTTTTGAAGGTCTTGGTTGATCAAATACCATATTCTGGGAACCGTTCTGTTCTTCGTCATCTTCTTCCTCTCCAGCCTCTTCTATTGTTGTCAGATCATTTTGGACTGATTCTTTGGCCTCTTCGAACATTCCATCAACAACTGATGATCTCATTATGCTTCCTCTCATATTCTTCATGTTTGCTGATGTTGTATGTTGTTCATTAAGCAAACTAAGAACGTCTGGAACTGTTCTTTCTTTAATAGCATTATGGATTTGTTCAGGAAGTCTCCAAATTCCACAGAAACCTTGGAAAGATGATAAGACAAAATTACCTGATATGTATGAGATATCAGTTATCAATGAAGACATCGATGAAATTACATAAATTTGTTCTCCAGAGAAAGAATCAACAATTCTAACAGTTGAATCACTCATACAGGCTGAAATAAATAATCCGCTTGATGGTTCAACTGAAACTTTGACTGGATATGAGCCGTTTGCCAGATTATAAGATCTGAAAACGGAAAAATTATTAATTTTAATAATCTTCATGGAATTATCATCATTACAGGCCGAAACAAAATATTTCTTGTTAGGGAAAAACGATAACGATAACGAGGAAGCCTGAATTGACTTAATTTCTTGGCCATTAAACAATCTTAGTTCATCCGCGCAAGCAGCAATTATCTTTCCATCATCAGTAATTAATAATGATGTTACTGTGCTAGGATTATTAAGAGTTACTGTTTTTAGCTGAATTAATCCAGTTAATGCGACTTGGAAAGTAATTATCTTACCAACATCAGTACCGCAAACAACTGTGTCTTGGTTGGATGCAATTGCTGTTATCGCTTGCTTGGAAATCTGTAGTTGTTGTATTGGATTTAAATTTGCTTTCGAAAGTACATGTAAAGTACCTCTAAAATCACCTGCAACAAGGAAATTTCCAACACATACGATACATCTGATACCTGTCAAGCTCTGATTGAAGTCTACTGGCTTTGCAATTATTTGTTTGCAAATTCTTTCGCCTTCTTGGATATCCCAGATCCTAATTGTTCCATCGCTACCTGCTGTGTACATTGTGCCCTCTTTCTCGGTGATTGTAGCGTTGATTGACCCGGAATGGTTAGAAATCGTTAAAAGAGGAGGTTCTTTGATTTTTCTGAGCCAAAATATGATGGAACCATCGGAATAAGCAGCAGAAACAATGCGTTTGCTAAGAGTTATGGCTACAACGGACTTCCCTGTAATGGAAAACCTTCCAAAAATCACGTATTGAGTTGCATCTTTTTTGACAGCAAGAATGGAGCCTGTTTCCGTACCAATGAGGATAATTTTGTTGTCTATTGCTAATGAAGTAGCTTTGACTTTGAATTCTACAGGTATAATCGAAAATTTTGGCATCCGAAGTTTTGTATTTTGGGAACAGATTGATCCGGCCTTCTCGAAGATGACCAGTGTTCCATAGTTAGTAAGACAGAGAGCGTCATTTGGCTCGTTCGGGTTGATTGCAGAAGCTACAAAGGTTCTGTCTTTAAATTTGACTTTTGCGCCGCTGCGAGATTGTAAAACGACTGGTTTATCACCTTGTTTGCTATCTGTTTTTGGTTGTATGTTTATAAATTGTAATAATTTTTCTCCTGAAACAATTGCGAGTTTTCCATCAAATGAGATATGTAGATGTTTTGGTATTGCTGATAAATGATAATATCCGATAACTGATGCATTTGGTGTTGTTAAATCCCATAAATATAAGAAAGGTTTCTCTTCATTATCGATTTCAACTAATGATTTAGCTTCGGGTGTAAGCCCTATATATGAAAAACCATTTTGTGCTGTTTTAATTGGATATGTGGAAATAATTTTGTCAAATGAATCCGAAAATGAAACAACCCAAATGGTACTGTTTGGTCCGGATTCGGCTATAGCTATATCTGTGCCACTGGGTGAAAATGCTAAAGCTGTAATCTCCCTAATTTTTGGATCTACTACATAATCATATCTAATTTTGCTTTTTGGAACAAATATTGATAAAATTCCACCGCAAGCAATTGCAGTGACACCTGATTTTGAATATGATGTGAATACTGAGGAAGAAATAATTCCTGATCCCACAACTTTCTCCAAAATAGGCTCCATTTTTTATAAAAATGACGTTTTAAATTTCAAAATTTGGTATAAACAAACTTCTTGTATCTAAAATCAACGTGATTCATCTTCACAATATTTTTGTACAAATTCTTTTGATTTATAAGAAATTACATTCATTTGAAGATCTAAAAGATTGAATAAATCTATGAAGGTACTTATAATGAATGATCTATGTTTATCATATTCAAATGATTTTAAAAAAATATCAAATATTCAATTTTAGAAAATGTTTTTATATTTGTAGCTTTTAGCTTAATATTTTGGAATATATTTAATCCAAATTCCATTTGCATTGATCTTTTCAATGGATTTCACTGTAAACTCAATTGGATCGGTATTTGTTTGATAAGGATTTGCTTCGAAAAGCGAAACATTGTTAGTTGCATCAGCAGCAGCTGTAACAAGTAAACTAAGTTCATCAACAATTTTTGCCTTCATGGCACTCCAATTAATCATACCACCGCCTGCAATAGAAAGGATGTTGATGTGGAAAACTTTCTTCAATTTAGTTAGTAATATTTCCCAATCGATTTCATCTTTTCCAGCGATAATATAAGAAACATTTAAACGACGAAGGAGATTCTTATATTGAGGAGATGCCTTTTCAGTTAAAGCTTCAATGACATGTGATTCTGGGCGATCCATATATTTAACGGTGTTTCTGTCCCATGGAAGTTTACCAGACGGATCCATTGCAACAAGGTATTTTCCTGCATCAGTTACTGCATAAAAGTCTCCTTCTGGGCATTCTTTTTCGTTTTCATCGACAGGAGGGTTATCAATTGATGGTAAAACAGCATCAAATGTCCTTCTTCCCCACAACCATGCATCTGGTTTGTAACTCTCTCCTGTCCATTCATAATCGTTGAATGTTACTGAGCCATTTTCAGTATTCCAATATGGTCCAACCATCTTACCATTTAAGGAAATCATTGAATGAATATTCACGAAAGGTCTCTCGGAATTCATTGTTTAGAATGAAAAATGAAGTGACATAAAATTTGAATGATTACTAAATTGATTGGTCATAAAAATGTTTTTAACGTACTTTAATGGCTTTTTCAATGATAAAGTTTTCAACGATTATCCGGCCAATCTTGATTTCTCTCAAATAAATTGAATGATGCTCTCAAATAAATCCTATCAACATTTGACAACAAAGATATTGCAAATTTATTGAACAGCCATATTTAATGATTTTAAATAAATTGATTTATCTCAATTTTGATTGAATCAACTTCAATCTGTTCAAAAGTTGAAAAGGTGATGGATAAATGCAAATATTAATATAGGTGTATGTTTTTCGCATAATGTCAGGACAATAAATGAAAAATCGATTCTGCATTTATTCATTTAATAAAAAATAATAATAATCATATTGAATTAATCATTATGAAGGTAATACAATCATATATGATTACAACATATACGAATTTGATATATTTCTTTTTCATGCCTAACTAAATATGTGAAAAACATCAAATTTTAATTTCAATTTTAAAAAAGTTAACTTCAGTTAAAGGATGTGATTGAAATAAAATATGTTTTATTCATGAAACGGAATATGTGTTGAGACAAATGATGGCAAATGAGAGATAGATAGGACTATGTTTATAAAATAAAAAGTCATTAACAGTTTCGGGTAAAATGAGACGAATTGTGATGTTTTCAATAGAGATGTATTGAAGAACATCAATTGTTGTTTGATTAGAAATCCCTTTTTTGTTATCATAATGAACATAAACTGATTTCCATCCAAAAAATTCCTGAGATGCACGCGTCATTATAGTGTTTCGAGTTACATATAAATGACTTCCTCGTTGTATTCCGAACCTACCTGAATATTCAACAATAAAATTTCCTGGAATGAAAATATTGATTGGTGAAAAGAAAAAATTTGGGATATCTGAATGAATCGAAAACAAATCATATTCATAGGTAATTGTATTGAAATTGTTTAGGAATGTTATATTTTTTAATGAAATACAATTAACAAATGCATTATTTCCAATATATTTTAAAATTCCAGAGAATGTGAGACTGGTTAGTTGTACGCAGTTGTAAAATGTCTCATTCCCAATAGATGGTAAAATCCCAATTAAATTTTTTAATGATGTGCAATTATAAAATACTCTATTTCCAATAGATTCTATACTACCTGTGATTGTGATATTTATTAATGAATTACAATTATAAAATGCTTCTTTTTCTATGTATGTTACACTTCCTAGGATGGTGAAAAATGATAATGAGGGCCAATTATAAAATGTTTTTTCTGGAATTGATGTGACACTCCCTGTAATTGTAATATTTGTCAATGATGTACATAATTTAAATGGACTTATTCCAATATGTACTAAATTCCCTGGAATTGTAATGCTTGTTAATGAATTGCAGATAGAAAATGAATTTCCAATATACGATAATTTATCTGGTAAAGTGATATTGGTTAATGGACAAAAAGAAAATACTCTATCTCCAATATATGTTAATTTTTCTGGTAAATTGATATTGGTTAATGGACAATTATAAAATACATAATTTCCAATATATGTTAAACTTTGTGGTAAAGTGATATTGCTTAATAAACAACTATGAAATGCAGATTGTCCAATATATGTTCAATTTTCTGGAAAAGTGATATTGGTTAATGGGCAATCGGAAAATGTATAATTTCCAATAAATGTTAAATTTTCTGGTAAAGTAATATTGGTTAATCGACAACCAACAAATGCATAATTTCCAATATATGTTAAATTTTCTGGTAAAGTGATATTGGTTAATTGACAATTATAAAATGCACTTTCTCCAATATATGTTAAACTTTGTGGTAAAGTGATATTCTTTAATGGGCAATCATGAAATAAGCCATCTTCAATTGCTGTTACACTCTCTGGTATATTTATTGATTCAAGAATACACTGATAAAAGCACGCAATTCCAATACTTGAAATATTTTGAGGAAGAAAAACAGTTTTCAAACCCCAACAATATGCAAATAGTGATGCATTGAGAAATGGTAATTTATTGCAATTACTGAGATCTGCAAGTTCAATAAAACCCAAATAAAAGGTCTTATTGCTAATACTGATAACTTCACTTTTCTCTTCAAATTTAAGTGTTTTGATTTTATCGAAAGAATTAGATGTAGATTCGGGAGATATTTCTTTAACAGATTTAGGGATGACAGCATCGCCTAAGTCTTGTCTACAACCAATTAAGACTTCATCATTACTTCCCTCCCGATAGATAAAATCATTGGAACAAGAACTTAGTGAAAATAGAAAATGTAGCAAAATAAATTAAAATTGGCATTAATATAACTTAAAAATATTGAGTCAAGTGTGTAAATTTTTGAAAATTAAATCTTCTTGGATTAAATATTGGGAAAGGGTACCTTAAAAGTATCGAAATAGGAAAATATTATTTGTAAATTGGTCATATTTTCATAACGAAATTTTTGGTTGAAGACTTAAAAGTAGTTGCTTTATTTCAATGGTTGTATTGGATTGTTTTGTCATTGCTCGTTTAATCGATGATATTTTACTAATTGGATCTGAACCTAAGGAAAAAATAAATTCTAATGTTGATGTACGATGAGTGATTCTACAAGTATAGTATTTGGAAGAGTCTGAAATTCCTTTTAAAACAATACATCTCTAACCATTATATGTTAATCGTGAAGATTTGTTGATAGTGAAGACCTCTAACAAAATATTGTAAAATTTTGTTCTCAATTTTTTTGAATTATTGAAATAAAAAGGCAAAGGTAGGGCACGGTTTTGTACGTCATTTTAATATCTGAATTATGCATTAAATTTGCAGTCATTCAATTTTTCCGATGGCAATATCAGAACGATATTCAGCGAATTTGTTGTAAAAAAAAATACCCCTGTCAATAGGGCAAACCCAAATTTTAGCTAAAAGTGACAGGGGGAAAAAAACGTTTAGTATTAAAAAAAAGACCGATGAGAGCTTCGTTCGAAATATAGAGGGAACTGAGAATGCGCAACCATTCTCAGGGAATATTGGATGCTATTCCCGTTCCCTCTGTATGGAAAATTGAGGTTTTCAAAAGGAGTTAAAATAATATCAAATTTATACTAATTTACTTCAAAATACAAAAGTATTTGACAGCTAAAATTAGTTACTTTAGCAAGCCTATCAATACCCTTTTACGATTATTGCTACTTTTTCGAAATAAAAGTAAAAACAAATTTATACTAATTTACTTCAAAATACAAAAGTATTTGACAGCTAAAATTAGTTACTTTAGCAAGCCTATCAATACCCTTTTACGATTATTGCTACTTTTTCGAAATAAAATAAATTTATTATCAAAAACCTTTTTTTTCTTAGTAAAAATAAACGAAATTTTTTACCTTATGAACTTTTGATGGAAATATGCAAATTTAAAATAATAAAGAAAGCCGCGAGCGAAGCGATCGGCTTAGTTCGAAGATTTTGATTCAAATCTTTGCTGATCTGTAATTCGCGGAAGCCGCGAGCGAATCGAGCGGCTTAGGTCTAAGATTTTGATTCAAATCTTTGCTTATATTCCTTAAATTCTTTATGAAACTCGCAACAGTTCCATAAAAAATTTTAAATTCTAAACTGTCGAAATTACCGATCGGTAATCACACCCTTCACGGGTGTGTCACTTTTTACAGGTGTGTCACTTTTAGCTAAAATTACCCCTACTCCTGTCAATAGTTCATACAATATTCACATATAATATATCTAATTTTTATATCGATCATTTAAGGCGTTCGATTCTGGAGGTTGATTATTCAAGAAATTTCTAGAAGTGCTCCCACTCCAAATATTAGCAGCTTAGCTTATCTGTTCATTCTGGAAAATACCTAGGCCTAGTTATGCATATACATATAAATATTGTTCGCATCTCTTTTATTGAAGTCAAATTCTAAATTAGATTTTTGAAAATCATACACAATATTCGCTTTCTTAATTAAGAATGTAACATTTATGTAGGCTTGATGTATGTCTGATTCAATATAATATGATTGGATTCGAGTTCAGTTTAATCAAATTCATATTTATGGAATCCTAGTCATTATAAGTCTTGTAATCTTAATAATAAAACGCATTAATGAAAATCATTTTAATTATAAAACAAAATCATTCCTTTAGGGAGATCACTTCTAAATTTCTCCCTAAAAAAAATAAAAATAAAAATAAAAACTTTTGTTTTTTTAGTTTAAATCTGTGTTTCTTTTGAAAACTCTTCTAATAATCTAATTGGTTCTAATGATTCCTTCTCAATGATTGGGCGGAAATCTTCTGGGCATTTATCGACAAAGACCTTGATTGCTTCGATGGACTCAGAAGCATGGCGAGACACAGAAGCAGCCAATGTGAATCCGGATTCGATGAGGAGTTCGATCTTTTCGCACATAACAGGTGCAGTTTCGATGATTCCTAAAACTGGGTGTGACTCGATGTGGAATGTGTGGATTTCATCGGCATATGCTTCAAGAGACCTCATGATCTGGACAATGAATGCGTGTAACTGGTCTCTGATTGGAGCTAACTTATGGTGTGATTTGATCAAGTTCAATGAGATTCTGATCTTTGCAAGCATTGCCAATGCGTCTGACAATCCAATTGCAATGTTAATCATCTGTGAATCGGTGATATCGAACAAGCTTTCTTCGGATCGCTTCAGTTTGCTGGAAATCTGCTTCAAGATCTCAAGCAATTCATCAACATCAACAGGCAAAATTCCACGCTCAATGCTCTCAAGCCAATGGATCAATGCATTGATGTGGTCTGCCTTTGATGTGGACTTGCGAAGACTGTCGTACAACTTGTTGATGCCGCGCTGAAGAGTATCAGCTTCGAATGTTCGGAATGTGGAAACATCCATAGACAAGTTGTTGATCAATCGAACAACAAAGTTCTTGATCTGGCCGTTCGGTGCTTTGACTAATGTGCTCGAGTAGTTCTTGATGATCTGGACTGTGTTGTTGACCTTGACGTTGATCTTGTTCTGCTGCTGGTTGAAGCTTTCGAGGAGTGTTCTTTCAAGCTCGTTCAAGATGTGCTCTGTCTCAGCGACGTATCTTGGATGTGCATTTGGTTTGTGCATACGGATTGTACGAAGGAATCGACGGATGCGCAAAAGTGACTTACTCATCTTGTCGGAGGAATAATCTGACAAAAGTGGATCTGAAATTGTCTGGCAAATTGAGTCAAATTCGTCACTTGACCATCCTTGGATTGTAAACTCCTTGTAGATGTTTGTGATGATTTGGAGAACTGCGTCCTTGTAGATAAGCGAGTTTCCGCTGAAGGCTGTGTTCTTCAATATTGTCTCTGTCAATGTGTTGTATGACTTAGAAATTGTGGTTAAGTTTTGTGCTGCAATTTGGCACTTTTCTGTGAGTTTCAACATGACAGGATATGACAAGATTGTTGAAGCTTCTGAAACGTTTTGGTTGATGATTTCGAGGTTTGTGATGTCAGGAACAAATGATGAATCGATGTTCCTAACGAGGATTTCAAGGCCATCACCTGCATTCTTGTTGTATGCATCGGATTTGATTTGTTTAACTAACAACTCCAAATCATTCAAGAACCAAACAAAAATGGTGTCGATGAACTTGATTCTGTCAACTGATTCTTCGCATGAAGCAACCATTGTTGCGTACTTAGACTGCTCGAAAATCTTTGTGAACTCGTCAGCAGCGTCATCAAGAGTCATAGCTGTCTCTCTAAGTTCGTAAAGTTTGTTGTCTTTAAGGAGCATCAACATTTCGTAAAGAATTTCAATGATTTCGTCGTCTTTTTGTGTCTTGTCTGCCAACTTCTTGATTGAAGAAACAATCTTCTTAGCGAATTCATCACGCTCTGTTGGATTGAGTTTGATGTTATCGAAATCTTTGATTGTCTTCTGAAGTTTTTCTTGTGTTGCTGGTTCATACATCTTTGTTGCAACTTCATCAACAATCTTGTCAATGCTGTTGTCCAAATTCTCAAGTTCGTCTCTGATGTGTAATGCTGTCAATCTGTATGTCCAGATTCTTGATACGTTGTTGATGAATCTGTCAAATGATTTCTGGACATCTTCTGAGAGTTTGTTATCTGGTTCGATGTAGTTAATGAGTTCAGCTGCTTCTTGTGCTGATTTGTGGATACGTGCAAGTGTTGACAATGTTAATTGTTCGTCCTTGCGTGATACAGCTTCGATGAAATCGTTCTTGGAAATGCGGTAATCGCCCATGATTGATGCCATGTCTGTTCTGCAATCAGCAACAGCCTTTGAGTTGATCTGCTGTGTGATTGGGAATTTGACTAATGGTGTCAATGGACTGAGATCGAAATCATGATACATGTTTCCGATGGAATGAAGGATCTTTGATGCATCATTGACTGCGGAGATCAACTTGTTTCCTGGAACTGTTGTAGAACAAAGAACTTTGACTTCGTTCTTGATGAGAGAAATAGCGATGTTTGATCTCATGTAGATTCTTGGAGAATCGAAAGAGCCAGGAGTTCCAACTAAATTGTGCAAAATGTCAACGGAATGTTGAAGAGAAACAAAAGCGAATGGGAACTGAAGAAGGAATCTCATTGTATCTGTGTTCTGTGCAACTAAAATGGAGTTCAATGTCAATGATAACTGAAGAGCTCCTGCATTAACCATGATTGAAATGAACTGTGGTTTTCCAAAGAGTTCTTTCCAGTTTGGTAATGTTGTATCACTCTTGCATGCGGCTTCAAGAATGACTTGCATTGGAGAATTCTCGAGATCAGCTGTGACATCGTGTGCAAGCTCTAAATCCTCTTCCAATGTCAGTGAATAAGCAAAGTATGATGCTTCGTGAACTGACAATTTATTGATGATTTCCTTGGATTTGTCTGAAAGAGTGATTTCTTCAGAGTTCGATGCATCGTAGAGTACGCGGTGGATTGTTGCATGAACAAACCAATGATAGAGGTTGTAGAGCTTGAGGAAGATCTGGCAGAACTCGCTGACAGGGCGGTGGATGAGCCATGACAATGCAAGTCCTGGTCCCATGTTCAACAACAATTCGCCAACAGTGCATTCGTCAACCTCGAAATTGATGTTGTCCTGGACATAGCACTTGAGAGCGGAGAAGCTGTCATTCCTTGCTTCTGTTGGATCTAATTCGAACAACCCAACATCGTTTGCGTATTGGTTGTAGACGTGGTGCAATGATCCTTCCAAAAGTTGGAATAATTGTGCACATTCTTTAGCCAAAACTGATGGTTGGTCAATGACCAAAATAACAGCAATTGTCAAGAGGTCGCTGACAACAACAGATGAAGAGAAATTCTGTACTCTGCTGTATGAATCCCTGAGAATAGTAATTGCTGGATTGATCATTGTAAACAGTGTTCTGTGCTCGTTGAAAAGTCCTGGCAAGTTGAATGCAACGAGTTTGTTGAATTCGATCAATGTATGGATGAGTGTTGAGTTCTGGTTGTCTGGATTGAGGATCATCTTGCAGATGTCGGCAGCTGCAGACAAGAACTCCTTGAGATGGTCGTCTGGAAGCTTCTTTCTGTCTTCCCAGAGGACACGTGAGAATTCGACCATCGCTGTCATCATGTTGTTCATAGAATCTTGATGTAAGATGACAGATGGATCGATATCGTGGAATTGGGAGCTTTCTGTGATGAGTGGGAAGAGATTTACAGATAATAAGTGATGTCTGAAGAGATAATCTAAGCGCTGCTGCATCTTTGTCTTAAGTTCGACATCGCCGACAGAGAACAAGTACTTGGAAATGAGATCTTTGAGTTCAAGGCCGTTTTCAAGGAATAATTTGACAATCTCTTGGAAAGCTTCGACTCGGCGTTCTTCCGTAGCATAAGGAAGTTCCATGCATGAAATAAGATGGGAGAGAATGAAGGAAATGACGTTACGAGATGTGACATAAATTGGATCTTTCGAAATTGGAACGAAAGACTGGCGAACGAGAGCCAAATTGGTAAGAACGTCTTTAATGATGGCCTTAGCTTCATCGTACTTGCTGTCGAGTGAAGATAAGAGCCAGCCAATCTTATAAGCGTTATCGTAAGGACGATGGTCGTATGTAAGGTATTTAAGATAGCCTATTAAGCGGCTGTGGTAAGCAGTAATTTCGTCTTTGAGGACTTTTGCTGTATTTGCGTTGACTTTTTCAAGAAGAACGGACAAGTGCCATGCGCAACTGTCAGCACGGATAAGAAGAGCGTGCATTAAGTTAGCGTTCGTTAAGTCTGTGATTGTTTCGTCTTTTGTGATGAAATCCCAAACGTAATCTTCGCAGAAAATTGGTGGACGGATTGTCTGCTTCTGCTGGAGAATGTCTTCCTTGGTGCGGAATGTGAATTGTGTCTCTTCAAGAGAATCTGTGCCATTAATGCAGGAAACTGTCTTTCTGACAATTGAGCGGCATGTTCTGGAAGTAAAGCGAACTTCCTCAACATTCTCGCCATCAATTGAGTATGTAAGTTTAATCGTAGTGTTGTCTCTCTGAATTGAGAGAACATCGTCGTAATTAATAGAAAGACGTGTCTTGAACTTGATGTAGTCGAGAACGAATATACGGCGTTCTGTATAGATGAGCTCGAAATTGTCAGGAAGCCTTGGATTTGTGTCATTTGGTAATTTGGCGGCTGTGAATGATTGGCAGTTGAAAAGTGGAAGCGCTTGAACCTTTGTTACGAACTCCTTCTCTGCTTGGAATCTGCTGACTGAGTTAAGGAAAGTCCACTCAAGATGCAAATCTACAGCTGCGCCGTTAACAGACTGGAAACGCCGTGGTAAATATTTAGCGAGGTCTGAGATGGCTCCTTTGTAAGCACGGGATGGACCGACAGACGCTTGGAGGAGATATGCTGAAAGAGAAACTGCATCTGAGAAAGGAAGGTAAACTGGACCACGAAGATACAAATCTAAGAAGTCAATCTTCTTATCTGTATCGTCGGCGTAGATTTCGAAGCTCTTTGCACCAGATACTTGTTCTGGGATTGGTAAAGCATCGAAAAGAACGGTTCCGTTGTGTTCAACGACAAAGGCATCGGGAGAAATTGAATTGATTTCTTTTGAAATCCTTTCTTTGATTGTACGAATTGAATCTTTAAGATTAATGGTAAGTGTGATTGGATCTCTCTTGATAGATGGGACCTCTTTGCGTGTGTCATCTTTTTTGCGTTCTGTACCTGGGAAATTGAATGTTAAGTCAAATGTTAATGGAACAAGCTCAACGCGTGGCTTTTCTGGAATCTGAAAGTTTTTAATTGGTTTGTCTAAATCTGCATATGTAAATGTACCATCAATAAGTTCAATGCAAATGTTGTGCTCGCCAATATTATCCATTTCTGGGAATAAAAGCTTAGCATGAGAATAAATTGAACCAACTGTGGAAAATGCAGGTACTGTGACTTCTTTCTTTTCTACTTGGCCGTAAGGAAAATCAACAATGACTGTAAGCTCCTGCATATTTAATATAAAATATAAGTGTCACATTTTATTTTATTTATATTTTGAAAAATGATGTGGCCGATAAAAAGAGAAATAGATCCAGTAGTATATGGTATTCATGTTTTTTAAGTTACTTTTTTTCGAAATTTTGTTTTTGCACATGAAAGCTGTAAACTCAAATTGGCAATTTTAATTAAGACCTTACAACAAAGGCTTGGTTTGCCTGAATACTGCGTGATGAGTGATCACACGGGATTGAAAATGATGATACTTCGTTCAGAGTTACATTTAATAAAGCCTCACAAGAATTGAATTTGGAATCAAACTAAAAGTAGATTATTTCACACAAATTTCTCTATCATACGCCTTTACTGTCGAGTTTTTGTAATTCCACTCATGGTATCTTTATTAATTACTGCTTTTTCTTTATAATTTACAATTTTCGCACTTCAACCTCTATATAATACTAAATTTAAGTAAGTGATGCATTTGATACATAAAAACTAAGCATATTACTTAGGTTCAGCCTATTTCTCAATGGTTTCATGAATATTCTTGGAAGATGAGAGTTATTAAACTGAGTAACTATTAGGATTTACTATTTCCTAATTATTCCATTCTCAATTAAACTAATAACTAAATATCTATTTTGTGAAATTGGAGTCTAATTATTAAGAATATGTTAATCTGAGTTTGGATGTTTGATATGATTCCAAACATAGTTTTAATTAAATGTAGACTTAATACGTACTTAAATTATTCTTGAAATCATATTGGAATGATTTGGATAGAAAGATATAACTGATCAAAATTCCAAATTCATTGAGAATACTTTTAAAATGAGAAGCACATATTTGTGCTGAAATAATGAAACCTGTTATTTTGCATGTTCAATATTAGTTCCTTCATATGAGTACATAGGTAATATAGGAAAAACTCTACTTCATCTTGCACCAAATTAAATATTATACAAATCGAATGAAAGAGATTTATTTGATTTAGGAGAAAGAACAGTAAGGTATTTAATATATATAAAAAAAAGATAAACAATAAAATAAAGATTAAACTTTCCAAGAAAGAACGCTGTGTCCATTTCCTCTTACGAAAGCGAAACTTGTTGGAATGTGAGAAATAAGCTTCAGCAAGTCTAAGTACATAATATTAGACATATCTGTTGGAGGAATGAACAAAGTACAGATGATCAAAGCAGCTTTGTTTGAGTATTCCCTTATAACATCTGCGAACAAGATAAATCTCTTGAAAACTGGATCATATGGGAACTTTCTTGTCAAATGTTCCCAGTAATTCTTGTTGACAGTGCTAGGAGTACTGGAATTCTCATCAATCTCGATGCCAATGACTTCTGCGTTGATTCTGAACCTTTCGCATAATCTTGACATTCTTTCCTTGGATTTTTCAGCGGTATCGCCATTAGCTTTGTAAGCAATTGTCAATACACGCAATTTCTTCTTCAAATAATTTGCCATCAAAAATCCAACTAAAAGTGTCAAACCGCCATCATCGGCTAACCAATAAACATCAACGAAAGATGACTCGTGGAATATGTTGTAGGGCCTTGCGGTGAGTATTAAACCGAAATTAGCCTTCAAAACATCAACGACCATGTCATGAACTTCATCTGCAGTACGTTCGTCGATATTTATGAAAACTGTGTTCGGTCTGAAGGCTCCTACGCCGGAAAGTAGCATCTGCTTCATCAAGGCGTTCCTTGGACCTGTTGCAAGTACAGTTTCGAAAAAGATATTATGTTGGTTTGCATAATAAACTTCCAAATTCTTTCTGCGCTCTACAGCCAAGTCCAAACCTTTATGGTCATCCATACACTGCGAGATAATACAGAAAGCTTCGTGATGCAACAAAGTTTTGATGAATGGAAGAATTTGTGTCTCGAATTTCTCGTCTTCTTTGACAATGGTTAGCAAATTAATTCTAAACAACTTCGGGTTGTCGTTAATCCTCTGAGTACTGAGCGCATCTGTATAAGTTTTGTACCAAGCCTGCGCTTGCATAACTGAGCCCCAATTCTGCGTGGATCCTTTGAAGTATGAGATTGAGTATATTGCGGCCAAAAGAATCCAGTTAATTATTGAGGAAGCCCATGAAATTAAAATTTGCAAAATCAGAGTTACAATTGAGCCGAATAAGCTGAGCCATGGACTCCACATCTTGTTCTTAGGACGCCAGCCTGGAATATGTGACCTTGAAGCAGTAAATACGCAATAATTAATAATAAGTGACAAACTGAGGAAGAAAATCGTATTAATATTGGCTGCAAAGTCCAGGTTACCGATTCCGACGAACGTTGCTGTAACAGCAAGTGGAATCCAGAGATCATATTTATATCTGATCGGAGGAAGCAACTGATCTGTTGCCAAATCAGCGACTAAGCCTCTCTCGTAGCCAATCATGGCGATGGAACGGTGGAAACCGAAAACTGTCAAAGTTACGAAACAAACCCACTTATTAATGTTGAAAGAAAGGATTGGAGAGACGTCATCTGCAATAAGGAATGATCTTTCACCACAGAAACCAATTAAAAGGATGGTTACGTGCCAGAAAATAACTGATAATCCAAATGCCCACCAAAGACCCTTTGGAATCATCTTTTGTGGGCGTTTCAGCCTTCCTGTATACGCGAAACCACCTGTAAGTGCTGTAAAACCTGGTGTAACCGTGTAAATGTATGACATAAATTTCAAAACTGTCATTTCTGAGTGAGACCATGTGTTACTTTTGAATGTGGTGAAGTTTGGTCTGTTGAATCCTTCTGTGGATCCTGTCTTTCTGACGAAACAGCCAAGAATGAAGCCAAAAATACCAATTAAGTGTGTTGTTGTAGTAAACCTTAACGAATATGGGAAGAATCGTGCTAAAGGAACTGATATGAGCATAATAGACATGGCTATAACACGAATATCGTTTCTTTCGCTCTTTGTGAAAAATTTAGGTTCATACATAGAAATGATTGATTCGGAGTAACCAATAATAGCTGAAGCAGCACCTAAACATGTTGAAAGATCTAAGAATATCGTAAAGCATCGGCCAAGGTCAGGTCCAATTGTTCTCGAAATTACATAATGGATACCACTGCCATCAATCTCACCATTCGTGCCCATTGCGTTTAATGAAGTAATAAGGATAATTGAAATAACGCAGGAAAGCCAAATAATTGCTAAAGAGTAAACAACGCCGCAATCACCAACCAATTTACCTGCACGTGTCCAATATGTCATACCCATTAGATTGATGAATGTAGGTAAAAATACGCCTGTGAAAGCATTCATTGTTTTCTGAGTTTCATCGACAGGAGGCTCTTTCTGAATATGGCAGTTATCGGATCTAGCGCGTAGATCAGAAACTGTTGGTCTTTTCGCAATTTTCTTGTAAAAAACAGTAGAAGGACCAAAATCATGTGGATCAATAAAAGTTGCCGGAGGAGCTGGAGTACTTTCACTAGCAGATTCATTTGTTACATTGCTCGTGGATTGGCTTTCATCATCCAAATCCTCGAGCACATTCTCTTTTACTCTTTCGTAGCTCATTAATCTATTGAAGGTAAATTGACGATGAATAAAAGAATGCAAATTTTAAACTATCTCAATATATGCTATAATAATACTTGCTTATTTTGTTCAATGGGGAAATTTGAAAATCTTTCAATTTTGAGAAGACATAAAATTTGAAAATCTTTCAATTTTGAGAAGACATAAAATTTGAAATTGCTTCAATATACGATCACCAAAATAAAAAATAAATCTTTTCGTTTTTAAAGTGAGATCCGTCCAAATCCTGATTGATAGCAAGAAATGGTAAGAAAAAAATTAAACCTTCTAAATCAAAAATATTTGTACAGCATCATAGTAAATAAATAGAAATGACTGAGAAATTGCTTTAATTAACAGTAGGTTAAAATTTCAATTCAAAATAATGAAGTTATAAGGGTAAATCCTGTGAAATTTATAGTAATGATTGATGTACATGATAGTGTCACAGGTGACTGAACTATATGCAGAATACAAATTTCACTCAACAACCGAATTACCACCGATCTTAACCAGAAGCCAAATTTTGATTTTGTTTAACTATTCAAAGGCACTCATTGTATTGGCTATATTGTCGGCTCAAAATGAATAAAATGTAATTGGCAATAATCCTCAATGAACTCTGTTATTAATAGAAACTTTTCAGTATCATATGAGTGGATACCTGTGTTGGTGTTTTGTTAAATAATTCTGTTTATTTAATATTGAAATGAAAATTATTACTTATTTCAAAGAAGTCTAACGAAAACAATATGTGAACTATGCTGTTTGGATATAAATATGTTAAAATATCTAATTGTGGCAGTATCATATGAATAAAAAAGAGTTCAATAAATCTGATACTTTGTAATAATGTAAAAAAGAAGAAAATATAAATGCAAAATGCTGTTTATGACTACCAAAATTATGAATAATTCTAGGACGCCAAGCTCCTTAGACTGGGTTGCGGATGACTGCCTGAGCGGCGGCCAAACGAGCGATTGGGATACGGAATGGGCTGCAGGAGACGTAGTTCATGCCGAGGCGGTGGCAGAAGTCGATAGACTTTGGATCACCACCGTGCTCACCACAGATACCGACAGAAAGGTCTGGGCGTGTGACACGGCCATCTTCGACGGCGATCTTCATGAGGCGACCGACACCGTTCTGATCGATTGTCTGGAATGGAGAGTCCTTGAAGAGACCCCATTCGTAGTAGTTCTGAAGGAAGGAGCCTTCAGAGTCATCACGAGAAAGACCAAGTGTCATCTGGTGGAGATCGTTTGTGCCGAATGAGTAGAATTCAGCGAGTGTAGCGATCTGGCCAGATGTGAGGGCAGCACGTGGAACTTCGATCATTGTGCCGAACTTGCAGTGGATCTTGATGCCGTGTTCCTTTTGGACCTTCTCGAGGATCTCGTTGTATGTTGGCTTGATGCGCTGGAGTTCAGAGACATCCATTGTAAGTGGAACCATGATCTCTGGAAGTGGGTTAGCGCCTTCCTTCTGGGCGATGGCAACACCCTCAAGGATAGCGGAGATCTGCATCTTGACGAGGCCTGGGATGACGAGGCAAAGGCGGACACCACGTGTACCAATCATTGGGTTGGACTCGTGCATTGACTTGGCCTTGGAGAGGAGCATTTCCTTCTCTTCGAGCATCTTTGGATCGTATGGAGCGCCGAGTTCCTTACGTGTGCGGAGGACTGTAACTTCCTCAAGAAGCTGGTCGTATTCTGGAAGGAATTCGTGGAGTGGTGGGTCGATGAGACGGATGATTGTTGGAAGGCCGGACATGGACTTGAACATGTGGACGAAGTCCTGTGTCTGGACGTGCTCGAGTTCATCGAGAGCGGCTTCACGGTCCTTGTCGTTGTCAGCAAGGATCATCTTACGGACGATGGCAGCACGGTCGCCAAGGAACATGTGTTCTGTACGGCAGAGACCGATACCTTCGGCGCCGAATTCGATAGCACGCTGGGCATCGACTGGAGAGTCGGCGTTAGCCCAAACCATGAGACCACGTGTTGGGCCGTTGTTGATGGACTTACGGCCACCCTCGCGAGAGCGGATTTCATCAGCCCACTTGAGGATTTGTTGAAGATCCTTCTGGTCGTTGAGGTTTGGCTTTGTGAGTGGGATAGCACCCTTGAAGACTTGGCCTGTTGTGCCATCGACGGAGACGACATCACCTTCGTGGAGTGTGACACCGTTGGATGTGACTGTAAGAGCTTCGAAGTCGATGGAGATTGAGCCGCAGCCGACGACAGCTGGGAAGCCGAGCTGACGAGCGACGACAGCAGCGTGGGAGGCAGCACCACCTTCAGCAGTGATGACACCCTTGCCGACGAGCATGCCACCGATATCATCTGGCTTTGTGAACTGGCGGACCATGATGACATCTTCGCCTTCCTTGGCCTTCTTCTTGCACATTTCGGCAGAGAAGTAGATCTTGCCGACACCAGCACCTGGGGAAGCGTTGACACCCTTTGTGAAGAGGTTTGGCTGAGCCTTCTTGAGGTCGTTGGCATCGAAGTGTGGGTGAAGAAGCTGGTCGACTTCAGCTGGGCTGATTCTGTTGACAGCCTGCTCCTTTGTGATGAGGCCTTCCTGAACCATCTCGTTGGCAACCTTGACGGCGGCTGTAGCTGTACGCTTGCCGTTACGTGTCTGAAGCATCCAAAGCTTGCCTTCTTCGATGGTGAATTCGACATCTTGCATATCCTTGAAGTGAGCTTCAAGCTTGGCTGTGATGTCTACGAATTCCTTGAAAGCGGATGGGATCTTTGTCTCGAGGGACTCGATCTTGTCGGCTGTGCGGACACCAGCGACGACATCTTCGCCTTGAGCGTTGATAAGGTATTCACCCCAAAGCTTGCGTTCGCCCGTTGATGGGTTACGTGTGAAGGCGACACCTGTAGCTGATGTATCACCCATGTTACCGAAGACCATGGACATGATGTTAACAGCTGTGCCGAGGTTGTGTGGGATCTTGAAGTTGTTACGGTAGTCGATAGCACGTTCGCAGTTCCAGGATGAGAAGACAGCGAGTGTGGCCATCTTAACTTGCTCGATTGGGTCCTGTGGGAACTCATTGCCTGTTTCCTCAAGGATGATCTTCTTGTACTCCTTGGCAAGTTCGTCCCAGTCCTCAGCCTTGCAGTCGTTGTCGCCCTTGTAGCCCTTGGACTTCTGCATCTTGTGGAGAGCAGCTTCGAACTTCTCATCTGGAATTCCGAGAACGATAGCACCGAAGCCCTGGAGAAGGCGGCGGTATGAGTCGTAAACGAAACGTGGGTTGTTTGTGAGCTTGATCATGGCCTGGACTGTGACATCGTTGAGACCGATGTTGAGAACTGTGTCCATCATACCTGGCATGGAAATCTTAGCGCCAGAGCGGCAAGAAACGAGAAGTGGCTTCTCAGCAGAGCCGAACTTCTTGCCGGTCATCTCTTCGAGACGGGCGATAGCCTTGGTCTGTTCTTCCCAAAGGCCTGGTGGGTAAGCTGGTGGGTCCTGCTTGTAGAAATCATTGCAGGCCTCTGTTGTGATTGTGAAACCCTTTGGAACTGGAACGCCGAGTTTAGCGATCCAAGCAAGGTTGCCACCCTTGCCACCAAGGAGTCCGAGAACTTTGTCGCGGTCGCCGTTAACGAGTTTCTCGACTTCGCCGACTTCCTCAAAGAAGTAAATATAGCGCTTTGCCATCAATAAAAGTAATTCGAAAAAGCAAACCGCTCAGAGTATTCAATTTTGATGGTCGATGAAACGATAAAAACGATTAGAAATCAAGTTTTATCCAAGCAATTTTTGTGGGAATATAATTTGGCATTGGAAGCCCGTAAAAATAATATGGTAGATGAAGGAAGTAAAATTTTATGGCTGAGGAAATCCGTCACCTCACCTGAGCAAGTAGTTTGTATATCACTAGTTACACAAAATTTAATAATATTCGGATGTTGTGAACTCAAATTTAAGAATTGATAAAAAGCATTCAAAATTTTGTAAGCTATGTTGCGGTTTGAAATTTTTATTCTCGTAATAATTTGATCTAATTTGCCATGACAGTATAATTTGGTCAGACGAGATTGGCTTGAGTCCATTCAAAATTGAATAGTATGCATTTTTAATTTGTAAGGTTTTATCTTCTATAAATCACATGGTTTATGTGGCCTCTGGCCCATCTACAAATTAATATAAGATATTTATCCTATAATGGAGTTTAATATGGCTTCCTCAAGCTAATTATTAAGATTTTTAGAACTTGATTGAATTTTTCTTCCTTCGGTTATTCTAATTAAAACCTAACTTATTGTGATAAACAGATTAAGATTTTATCAGAAAGATCTACAGTAACATTTTAAGTTATCTCTGGTTACTCATATTTTTGAAATTCCTATTCAACTTGATTTCAGGATGGAGATCAAATATAAAAATTTAATAAATCATAATTATAATCTATTTATATTAATTATTTCAAATAAGTGAGTTTATTTTCATTTCTCCATATCTTTTTGCCGACCAAATTTTAATTAGAGCTAAAAATATAACTGTAAAGACCAAATATAATAAATCAATCTTGTCCAACAATATGGATAGACCGGTACGAAATCAGAAATCTGGTTGGTTACGGTTCAAAGCAAAAAAGTGTAGAACTGCCTTAGCAAAGTTATACCTTGATAAGAAAGATCATTTATCAATATAAACAGTAACATTTCGATTCTATTAAACTGCAAAAGCTGCATCTAAAACACCATCATTTGCTTCAGTTGCTACATCAGGTTCTTTTATATCTATTTGCGCCGATAATAGGTATAAAATTCTCAAGACAACATAACTCATTAATGGGTATCAAAGGCAAACATATACCATATATAAGACTTCGAATAACATATTTACAGATACATCTGATTTATAATAGCTTTCATTCTCTAGTCCAGGATACAAATGAAAATAAACATAATTTGAATTAATTCATGTTCCGAAGTTAATATGAACGAATAATGCCAATGGTAGAAGAAATAAAGATACTTTAAGCCTACTCTCCCTAGATGGATGCAACAATTGCTTAAGATCTGAAAAAATGAAACTTGAAGTCAATACTGTAAAGCTTATCACAATGATAAATATATGAATATAAAGCATTGGAGATCCCATGACATAGTTTTCATAAAAAGACGTAATATAAGGAATTGTATAATAATATGAGATAAGAGGAATAATTGTTATAACGCATATTCCATACTGCATGATATTATGAATATGATTTTGGCCCCAAAGATGCCAAAAATAATAAGTACTTTTGATACATCTATAAAATACGCAATTTCTGAGAATAATTGTAAGTTTCGAACTGAATGCATCAGATTAATGCATTGCATACTTTGTACTGAGAGTAAATTGATAAATGAACAGTTAATTAACATAAATGTAACTGAAAAAATGATATTTGACCAACAAAAGAATATGCTATGATCGTATTTTATCTGATTATTTGCTATTCTCTGTCTGATCAATGATGATGCTGTATATGAATATGGAATTAAGAGAAAAATGCCAATAATGAAAATGGAAATATTTGAAGCTCTATTACAGCCAGGGAAGATAGAGAAACTACATCTGCTTGATATTCTTCCAGCCAATATAACTAAATTATCATCTTCTTCACTCATAAATTGAATTTTCTAAAATTTACGATAGTAAATTTCAAATCTTGAATAAAAAGGAGTATTTCTCTATCCATCTCAGTAACAGGAGATAGAATTTCGATTTTTTGTTAAGGTTTTCCAATACAAACCTTTCAAATTTGAATTGTTTCAAAATTTTGAAAAGGAAAGGTATTTACATAAAATATCTAAATTTCCATCATTCTTGTCTATTCAATAAATAGATGTGATTCTTATCAAACTAAACATTCAAGCATGCATGTTAAATTTGAGTTTATTTCGTGTTCAAAAATATTTGATTCAACAGGTAGCCATATCATGATAGCAAATACTTAAGATCAATTTACTATCTAATGTTATGTATAGTGATATTTGTATTGCCCCTCCATATTAAACATATGTTCATTTTATTAAAATTAGATTATTTTTAAGATGATATCATAGAATTATAAAGCCGAAGTTCTTACAAATCTAATGATAATATTATCATTAACAAATAATACAAGCATTTCAAATTTATAAAATAAAAAAAGAAAATTCAATGTTCAACAGGATAAACGATATGAGTTTAAATGTAAATTCATGCTTTTATCCAAAAATCTTAATCTATAAAATTTTTGACGTGTCAAATTGGCAAAAAAATCGGATGTCGTACGAATCTTATACAAGCACGTCTGTTACGACTACTACAACAGAAGAGCCGAAGAAATCATCCAATTTAGAACTATTTCCAACTATCCAAAACAATTTGCAATCTACAAAGGTTGCAGACAAATTAAATGGAATCAAAGCTCTTCTTGCAGTTATGTCCAAAGGCGAAGATGTTTCGTCATTCTTCCCACTTGTTGTTCAAGAAATCACATCTGAAGATGAAGCCCTTCGCCATCTTTCCTACATTTACTTAGTCCACTATGCCGAAAACGACCCAGATTCAGCCCTTATGTCAGTTAACACTTTCCAGCGTTCTCTCACAGATTCTGACCCGATCGTTCGTGCAATGGCTCTTAAAGTTCTTTCATCTATCAGAAATACAGAAATTATCGAAATTGTACTCGATTCCGTCACACGCTGCGCACTTGACCTCTCCCCTTATGTTCGAAAAGCCGCTGCTCTTGCCGTAGTTAAAATTAATGAAACATCTCCAGATTACATCGAAGAACTCATTCCAATTGTACAACGTCTTTTGAACGACCAATCGCTTGTTACCATTTCTGGTGCATTATATGCAGCAGAAAAGATCTGTCCAGATCGCGATATTTTATTACACCCAATCTACCGTACACTTTGCCAAGCGTTGAACCGCCTTGATCCATGGGGCCAAGCAATTGCAATGCACATGCTCCAGCGCTACGCCCGCCGTAATTTCCCCAAGCCATCAGGATCTGCTGATTGGTTCTCAGATGACGAAGAAGGAGCCTCTCTCGATCCAGACTTAGACTTACTTATCAAGAGCGTACAACCACTTCTCGCTTCCATCACTCCTTCCGTAGTTATTGCCGCTGCTTCTCTTTTCTTCTATTGCGCGCCACCTCTTAAAGTTCCTTTGATTGCAAAGCCACTCATCAGATTGCTCTACGTCGATAGTGCTACCGCATACGCTGCTTTGCTGTCAATCGCTTCTTTCGTTGCGGATAACGCGGAACCTTTCATTCCTCATATTCGTCACTTTTTCTTATTTGATGATGAACCAATTTTCATCATGAAACTGAAGTTGCAAGTCCTTTCACAACTTGCAAGGCCATCCAACAGTGACATCTTGATGCGCGAGTTGTCACAGTACATCTACAACCCTGACCAAGACATCGCAACAGAAGCTGTCAAAGCAATTGGAAGAACAGCATCTTTAGCAGGAGATTCAAGTGTTTCATGCATCGATGTCATTGTCAAGATGCTCAGTTCTCCTGTACAAAGTGTTGTTAACCAGGCAGCTCGTGTTTTAAGTCTTCTTTTGAGAAACTTGCCAAAACAAACACCGAAATCTAAAGATGACGATGATCTCTTTGGTGCAACAAATCCAATGGACAAAGAAGAAGTTGTTTCTATTCTTAAGAAGCTTCTCAAGGCATTCATCAAGATAACTGACAGTGAAACTAAAGCATGCGTCATGTCAATTGTCGGTGATAAATGCGAACTCATTCCTGAATACGCACATGAAGTTTTAAGAAGAGTTACAAATGATTTCGCAAATTCAGATCCATGTGTCAAATTGGCCGCATTGGAATTGAGTGCGAAAGTTTTGTACGTCAGACCGAAAGAGAGTGTTGAATTAGTCAAATACGTGTTGACATTAGGTTTCTACGACCAAAACATTAATGTCAGGGATCGCGCGAGATTAATTCACTCTCTTCTGACAGCGAACACTTCTCAGAACTATATCTTGGAGATCAGAAAGACACCAAAGAAGTTCGTTCTCCCAGATAAAAGTGATGTTGTTTGGGGTGTTGATTCCGTCAAGGCTTCAAACATTGAGGCAGGAACAATCTCTCAAATCATCGGAAAAGTCATCAACAAGACAAGTTTGGTTGTTCCTTGGGTTGATCCTTCAACTCTTCCTGAAAAGAATCCTCGCGATGAACCACTCGAAATCATCGAATCTGCACCAGCAGATGAAATCAGAGCGAAGAAGGATTTGGAGGAAGAAGACTTGAATGATTACTTCGGAACTTCTGAAGATCAAAAGATTGAAAATGTCGTGAAGTCTGCTTTCGGTGAGGAAGAAGAGAAGGAAAACAAAGAAGAGGATGCAAAAATCTTCGGTGATGTTGATGAAGAAAAGAAAGAAGATGAAAATCTCGATGATTACTTCAGTTAAAAAAAAACTTTGATTAATAAAAATAACTTTTAATATTGATAAACAATTTATAATATAATCGTAAAGTCAACATTTTATTTCACTATATTTATACTGTATCACTATTCAGAGGAGCTGAAAAATCCTCGCCAACTTTTTCAGGACGTGTAACGAAGTAATATACGAGAAAACCGACGGCTATTGCAACGCTTACTCCAATGAAAATGTTTCTCTTTCTTTTGGCTTCAGTTTCCTTTTGATTATCGCCTTCTTTCGATCTATCATTATCTTTTGTATCTTGATTTGCTGTGATTTCTGGTTTCACTGCTTCTGTTTGTGATTTTGTTTCTGGTTCTGGACTTGGCTTTGGCTCTGGTTGTGGTTGTGGTTTTGGTGGTTTTTCTGAACTTGGTTCTGGTTGAGGTTCTGGCTGTGGTTTTGGTTGTTCTGAGCTTGGCTCTGGTTCTGTTTCTGGTTGTGGCTTTGGTTGTTCTGAACTTGGCTCTGGTTGTGGTTTAGGAGCAGGATCAGTACCGAAATCGATGTCGTCTTCACCGATTTCAGAGCCGTCATTGAGATTTGTGTATTGCATCTTGAGTTTTCCGAATGGATTTGTCAAGAAGTGCGAATCCCAAAGAAGAACTGAGCGTCTGAATCGTTCGAAATCAGGGCATGGAACAGTTTTAGTTCCTAAGAATTGATTCTGTCCATTTTTAGCAGCATTGCATGTAAAATATTTGCCATTTGCAGAAAATGTAACACTTGTGTTATCACTGTTGAAATTGTAGTTGATACATCCTGTTGAATACTTCGTTGTTCCGGAAACTGCGTTCAAAGCAGCTTAGCCTGGTTTGCAGATTGTGTTTGGATAAACAAATCTGATGTAATCATATACATCTTGGTAGCCAATTTCTTCCCATCTCTGTGGATTGTAGAATTCAATAAATTTGCAATAATGGGCTCTTGGATAGGCAACACAATCGTATGGTACTTCATATGTTAGTGGACCTGTGCATTTGAAATCAAAGCATGCAAACGCTGTGTTTCTGTATGATTTACCTTGATATTGTTCTGGAAAAGCAAGTTGTGGTGGTTGAATTGGAAAATCTTTGAGATATGTTTCTCCGTCGAATGAATCTTTGTTTCCCCAAAGAAGTGGTTGGCCAATCTTATAATTAATTTTATAATTTCCTGTATCGAGAAGAATTGCCATACTAACATCAGTGAACCTCATATATGGACCATCGTTGGTTTGAATGGACAAGCCAACCATAAGATCTGTCATATAAACTCTTGCCTTTGGATGTCCGTATTCTGTGCCGTAGCCACCCATATCCTCGAGCTCAATACCTGATGGGCACTTCACACCGTTATCGCCGACATATTCTTCAAGGCCGTGATGTCTAACTGCCCATTTGTGACTGTATGGTGTTGTCAGGAATGTCATCTTCTTTCCTTTGACTGTAATATTGCAAAGCATGTTTTCATATGGCTTGTAGGAGTTCGGTGGATGGTAGTGATCGAACACATAATTGCTAATACCAAAGGCATGGAAAATTTCATGAACGCAATGGTAAAAGAACTTATTATTCCAGGAATCATAGTTCTGTGCTTCTTTTGGAATCGTTCTTGCATTGATCATGACACCTCCAAGGCGAGGTCTATGTCCAAGATCTTCAAAGAAGTCGTACGATGCTGAACTTGCAATTGTTCCATCATCTCCATATGGTCTAACTGTGATTGTCATGAAGAAATCGCAATCTGTAGCTTCATTAACTGGGGCATCGAAGAAAAGTTCCCAGTCTTTAACTGCAAACTTGTTATTTGGATGACGTCTTACTTTAAAGATTGACTCTAAGTAATGTCTGACATTCTCCATTGTAGTAATTAAAACTTCTTTTTGTGTTTCGTTAAGTGTATCAGCTTTGTTGCAAAAATATCCAGCTCCACCCCATCCAATTGTTTTATTATCTGGTTGGCAACCCTTCTTATCTTTAGTTTGATCACGAATATAGTCGTAATTAAATTTAATTCTGATTGGTTGCCATGCTGGATATATTTCTTCAACATTTTCTGATAGCTTTTTGACACTCTTTTTGAAGTGTGACGCAAAATGGGAGTGGCCACATCGGTATGCTAAGATAAGACTCAACATTTAATTTTAAATAAAAATCTTGTGAATTTTGGACTTTATGAAATTTAATTCTTATCATATGCTAGTTAAAATTTTATTCTCAGTTTTGTGGTTAATATAAACCTCTCACAATTTGGGATGATTAAGATTAAATTTTGAGAACCCTCACAAAAATTGGATTCTATTTTCTTCTTAAAGTGATTTATTTAATTATATTATTTAATAATTATCGAAGATGGAAAAAATTGAATTAAAAATTGAAGATATTGATTAAAAATTTTTATATATTTCATTTAATTATGATTTGTAAAAAGATAATGTTTTCACAGAAATATTAAAGAGAAAATGAGAAAAGTGACACAAATGTATTTCCCATGCCAAATCTCTGGAACATATTTCCCAAGTAAATTCAGTTCGTATATATCCCGGCCACTAATTGTTTATTCAACGATAAGAAATGAATAGCAAATTACGAATTTTATTTAAACATTTTTAAATCCTTTTAAAAATTTCCACCGAAAAATCGGATAAAAGTCACGCAATTGCTCTAAACGTTGCTTTTATATGTCAATCATATGCAACTTGTTCAACATAATAGATCGAAATCATCTTTTTCACCAAACAACCACAAATTTTCTGCTAAACTCATTACTTTATCCATCTTCAGTAATACTTGAAGTATTTGAATTGATCAGAAAAATTATTTTTCTTTGAGAGGGTTTATAAAGCTTATACAATCAAATTTTCATAGTTCTTGAGAACAGAACTTATTTTTTGTTCTTTGGTTTACTAATGTTGCCATGAATCTTCTATTTTATCTCTTAATCATCAAGATGAAAAATTAAATCATAATATTTGAGTATTAGTATATTGAATAAACATTACACATACTTCACACTATACTAGTTGATTATCCAATTTTTTACAAATCTTATATAGTCTATTGAAATAAATATGATAATGTTGAACATATCGGTGAAACTGCATAATACTATTTAATGGTGGAATGAAAGGCAAAATCTTCTTAATTTCATTGAATATAAATAAATAACAAAATTAAATTAAGCAAATCTTTATTAAATCCATGCTTGAAACGTAAAAAATGGAAATACAGGTAATATACCGATGTTTTATTTTTCCAAAATTATTTCAGAATTGTTATTATCCATATAAAAACTGTATTTTTGAAAATCAAAATTAATTTTTTAAATTTTTTTGGAAATATTTTGTCTTATTATAAACGATATTAAGAAGCCAACATTGCGAAATGCATTAAAATTTTTGTATAATTCTTGAAATTCTAAATATCATCTGAAAATTCAAGACTTTTTTGAATATTAAAGTATAAAAATCCATATACTCTATATGTAACTCTCATTTGTTTAGATCCAGCTTGAAAATCTCAAGTAGGTCGGAAACTTTTTCATTTCAAACTCTCATGCTGAATTTTTTATTCGTGATTATATGCCCTATTACTCTTGTATGAAAATATATTGTGTCTATTTGTACTCTTATGACAGAGGTAGGGCAACGATAGGTCAAAAAGGCTTCTCTGATAGATTTCCTTGCCTTTTGGATATGCTATAATATATAGCCTAGCATGATAGGATATGATGTCAAAAGTTAGAACATAACTTAGGATCTTGAGAAAAATGAAAAACAAAAATTACATAAAAAAAGAAAAAATTTATCTAATTTGTTTTTTTGGACCGAATAAGTAATTTTATTGAATTTCAATACGACACATAGATTTTATTATTAGTAATAAATATAATGGTTTACTATTAACAAGGAACCTAAACTAATGAAAATTTGATTTCAAATATTGTATATGATTATCATAGATTACCAAAATATATTGCTATTTATGAGGATATAATATTGATTATTAGTAAATCGTATAAATTTAATAAATATACCATGAATATTGAATGAATTTCTTGATTCATAGGGGTAAAACGCGCTTTTATATGATTTAGACAGAGAATTTATGAGATGTAAATAACACAATAAAGGTTTATATTGAATATTTTCTAAAAATAAATCGAAATTATAAAAAACAATACATTTATTCATTGAAACTACTTGGACAAATATGAAACAAGCATTCAGGCAATACTTTTGAGACTTCAACGCATCTGATAATTTTTATATAACTTCACCTCTTATGCTTAGAGTGGAGGTATTGAGATCGTATAAGTATAGATGAGCTCACATTCAGATATGATGTGTGAACTTCTGTTTTCACTGCAATTTTGAATCAGAATAAACTCAAAACAAGAATAAAATGATATACTCACTCTCTAAATGTGTTCGAGATTTAAAGTTGTATGAATAAAACGATTCATCTTTCGAAGCCTCCCATTTAATGAGAGACTTCGAAAGATGAATGTATTTATGTAGATGAAATACTATATATGACCATGTGTGATACTAAAGATATCAAAATGTTCATTTTTAAGTGCAATAGAAGGGTTATCTCTCGTAAAATCTCAATTGAAGGAAGATTTAGAAAGAACTCCTTTCCTAAGTAGATAGTGTGTGGTTTTTGTCTTTTGGTTGATCAGGAACTATGAAATTAAGTCGGACAGAAAGAAGTTCTTTCCAAAACAGACTCCAAATGAGTTGTTCGAAAAGAACTTCCTTCTGTATATGGATAATTGTAGTTACCGCACTGAAGTATGTGATTGTGATGATGGAGTTCTCGATAAATCTAAAATCGGATTAAGATTAATTGAAAACTCAAGTAATTCTTTGAAATCTTGTGTTGTCTGGCACTATAATAACCAAAGAATGAGAATATTATGTTGAATGATGAGTACGTGTGCTCGGCATTCGCCGAGCGAATTGAGTTTAACGTACTATGAAAAGTGACAAATTTGGGCTTTTTTTCCTAGGGTTATGATCTCTTCCTTTCTGCTCAATACGACAGAAATGAAAGAATGAATTTGTACTCCCTAATTGATTACTACAATCTGTATCTATCTTTAACATAGAATTAGCTGCATTGTGATTTATACTCCAGAATTATTCAATTTAAGATCAACCTCGTAAATTTTAATCATATTGCACCAATACTCCTACGTTGAGATAAGAACATGATTATACATACCAAAGCCCCATATTAAAAATCAAAATTTAGCACCTCCATTATGCAACCACATTATTCGTCGCAAATAAGTATATTTACGCATATTATGATGCATATTCACACAACTCGTATACATGAAAAGTTATTAAAATCAGACAAAATTATTGCAATAAGGGAAAAAAAACAACTTTATTATATATGTTAGTAATGAATTACAAATATTTCTACAAAGAATGCTCAATACTTCATATAATCTTCGAATATTTCTTATTACAAGTTAATACATTTTGACTCGAACATGATAAACAAAAGCTGACACGCTGATTACTACATTTATGAAAATATAGTACGTTTCCATTCATCTGTTTACTTGTTTTTGTTGGAATAAAATCATTTTTTTTTTCTTTCATGAAATAAGAATTTTGCTGCGAAAGCAATATCTCTAACAATAATTAATACATTACGTCAACTCTGGAATGAGTATTTATCAAATATGATATCAAAATCAAAAATTAGTTGTTTTTTATGAGTAAAAACGATGTAAATTGATTATTTGACTAATTATCAAATACTTTGATTTTCCAAATTTTTTTCGAAATTAATTTTTTCATGTGAAAATTCAAATTGTTTCATTTCATTTTTGAAATTTTGAATTTTTTTTTGGAATTTTGAGTTGATCAATTCAGCAGAATTGATAATGCTATTGCTTTAGGGCATACCACAAGGTGATGAATAAAAGGTGAACATTAACAAATTATTTTAAATCACAAATATCATCCTCATCAACTTTAATTCTAAAAAGAACTGTACTGAATTATGAAAATGCATGATTTACATTATTAAAATCTTTGAATGAAAATAGTACAAGATAAGTTTTAATTCATTTTTAATTAGATTTAAACGAAAAACTACTCCATATTAAAATTTAAGTCGAGAAATCGTATTTTGTTCTTATTTGTTAGCATTTTGTAGACATTCTAATCTTGAATTAATTTGTTACATGATATTATTAACAAATTTAACTGAAAAAATATGTTAATATGGAATAAACCATGATTATATAAGCTATCAATGCTATATATACATATGTAAAAGATTCATATTAACTCAATTAACAAAAATGATAGATTTTCATAAAGGTTCAATCTAGGTTCGTCCGAAAATTTTGATTTTTATATAGAAGACATAGTTTCATATACATAATTAAATTTTCAAACAAATTTGATCATACCATTTATTAAGCAGGATAGTATATTAATTACTATCAGTATAAAAATATAAAAATGATTATATTTAATTATTGCATAATTTAGTCAAAGAGTTATAAGCCTCAAGTGATCGTTATCACCTTCAATGCACGTATACTTTATTGATTCATAGATATTTAATCTATGTTTGACATGTTGTTGTCGTCATTCGTTTTGTTCCCATTCTTCCTAAGTTAGAATTAGAGAATACACCATCCACATCATCTAATTTGGTCCTCAGCGATAGATTGGTTCATTTTGGAGGAGTCCCATCAGACAGTTTTCGAGCACCAAATATCAAATTTTAATGTATACAAATCTTTAGTGATTTATCTCTTTTATGATGAGTAAAAGGTTTCTGCTCATCAACATTTGATTTCCGACATATATGATTTCTAATTGCAATTATTTACTTTCTTTTTATAATCTAACTCTGTGACTCATACCATAAATTAATTATTGGAAAGTGTCAATATGTTTGGCACAACGCATGGCGGAAGATACCAAACCATGCAGGGAATATGATACGTTTAAGATCTCCGAACTTTTTTTCCAAAAATTTTCTATCGTTGCCCTACCTCTCTTATGACGCTAAAAGTCAATCTAGATTTACAAAACCGATTTTATCAATTCAAAATTCAATGCGCATTGTTTTCAATTGAAAAATACAACTTTAAATATTTCATGTATTGTACAATCCAACACCAAATGGATCGTAATTTTCGTTCTCACAAATTTTATTTTTTCAATGACGGAGGAAGGTGAAGTACGAGAATGTCCAGTTTGCCGTGCAAAGACACATCTTGTACCATTACCATGCTGTGATGATTGTTCTAACTCATTAAAAAACTCCGAAATTGCTTTAAACCCAGAGTTTATGCCTACAGAACTCCAGCCAATCATAAAATCAGAAGTTTTGGAAGATATGAGTCTTGCAATTGCACACTCTAACTATGCAGATGTAGGATGTCTTGCTCCAAAATCCACAAAAAAGAAATCGAAGTATTACAAGTCAGCCAATGATTGGGTAGAATTAATGAGCGAACTCGATGAACAAACAAATTCACCAGCTATACCTTTGGATAAAGCAGAAGCAACACCAGGAATCAGATGGGCGACTTATATTTCTTTCTTCATCAACTTTTCACTACTGATCGGAAAAGCCGTTGCTGTTTCAGCTTCCACATCATACACATTGATTTCTTCCCTTGCTGATTCGTGTCTTGATATTATTGCAGGAACAATTATATCTTGCACTGCAAAACATTCGAAATTCACAAGAGAAGATTTAGACAGATATCCAGTTGGAAAATCCCGCATTGCTACTGTTGGACTTTTGGTATTTAGTGTTTTAATGTCTTGTTGCGCAGCCTACATCATAATTGAGTGCGTACAGTCACTCATCAAGAAGCAAGTACCAGGAAAAGAATCCGTGATTTCAATGATCATCATGGGCGTTACAATTTTTGTAAAATTAACAATGGCAATCGTTTATTACCTTCTTGGCCATCCAATTACACAAGCTCTTGCCGAGGATCACAGGAATGATGTAATTACAAATGCGATCGGCCTCTTTATGTACTGGGGCGGTCACAAATTAGGATGGTGGATGGATTCAACCGGCGGCATCATTCTTTCAACATTTATCCTTGTTTCATGGATAATGAATGCCAAAGAAAACGCTACAATGCTAATGGGAACAACAGCACCACCAGATATCATCAGATCTTTAACATACGTCGCTGCAAATCATCATCCATTGATTCTCAGTGTTGAACATGTCATTGCATTCCAGGTAGGACCTCTCTACTTTGCAGAATTGCACATTGTCGTTCCAGGCCATATTCCTATCGGCGTGGCCCATTGGATAGGCGAAAGCCTGCAACTAAAGATCGAAAGAATCCCAGATATCGAACGCGCTTGGGTTCATGTTGATTGTGAAACTCATAATGAAAACGAGCACGTTCTTTTCATGAAGGCTAACGGAAAACTCGAACACAAGCAACACAGCAGTGAAGTCGAGGATGAAACACCTGTTGGCCCATAAATTCAGCTATACTTTTTTTTGTAATTTTTTTGTGTAAATTTTCTTTATTCATTTCAATGATTTTTCTAGTACATTTGCCATATCCATTTAAAAAATAAACAGTACATTGGGTTTGCTTAGTATCAAACTTGAAATCCAGCTCATTGTCTTATTCAATTAAACGAAAACGATGTAAAAACATCATAAATGGATTGCTGAAAAGATTCTTAACGTGGATATCGGGATGATAATCCATAATATTGTATAAGGTGTTTTATATCGATACAACAAAGCTTTATTTTTTAAGGAAATAGCATAACTCAAGCAACTCTTGAGAATATATCGATTTGAAAAATTTGAGAAGTATTCGTCGATTTTGGGAAGAAAATTTTTTTTATAAACTTTGATAAAAACATACATTTGAGGATGTCAGATGATCAGAGCATCATAGATACAATCAATCTGGCAATTAAGAGTCAGGAAGAGATGAGGAACCAATTATTGAACGAAATACAGCAGCTTGAGAAGCAGAACAACGCTCCATCAAGAGCAGAAGCAACAATTAGATTTTACAAATCCTCCCTCGAGCATTTAGAGGTAGAAAAGCAGACACTTAACGAGAAAATCCATCAGCTAAAACAAGTAGAATATCCTCCTCTCCAACAGAAGCTTCAAAGAATGACACAAAAGAATCAATCGGTCGAGGCTAGAATCAAAAGCCTTAAAAAGGTTAGACAAGAAGACATTCTGAAGAAAATGGAAACACCAGAAAAGGCTAAAAAGCAAACCTTAAATTACATAGAAAAACTGAATAAGGAAATCCAAGACTTAATAAAGGAAGAAGGCAATATAAATAAGAAGATCGATGAATCAAAGGGTAAGCTTCATAGACTTCAGCAGGCTAATCTTACTACACAACGTCAGGCTGCAAATACATCCTGGGCTTCGGAAATCAGCGATGAAGCTAAACTGAATTCAATCACGATCGCCAGACCAGGAAAACGGCCAGCCAGATCGTTGAAGGCACGTAATTCTGCTTATTTACCACCAGATCCAACTAGATTTTCACCTTATTTTTAATTTAACGAATTAATAGGTGAAATACCTCCAAAGAAGCAAATTACCTCAATTCCTAGCAGACGTTTTCATATTTTTGATAATTTCATTTCAATATATTTTTTAATCAACTATCTTGTCAACACACTTTGTGGTTTACATTTAGAACTGTATATACAAGTGATTGCATAACAGTTTTTTTATTCAAGTTACAGTATTTATTTTTTTCATAACTCCTTTTATTTTTCTTTCAGAAGTTATATTTGCTTCGTTTCTTGTTTTGTATTTAAATAATATCCTCTTGATTTTATTTACTTCAAATAGTTTTTAATATTTCTAATCCAAAGTCTAAAAATTTTCATATTTAGATCAAAATACTGCATCAATGCAATACTTTTGACTTTTTCACTTATGTTTCAAAGCTTAGCTATAAAAATACCTCTAATTTATTCAACATCTATGGAAAAATGATTAAGATGCTTTCCTACAGGAAATAGTACATTTAATACACTTATTAATACATCTAATATTATTTTGAAAGAGGGTTGACCAATACATACAGAAATGAAGGTCACAAAAGAAGTGCCAAAAAAAATAAACGTATGCTGTGTGGAAATTTTCCATACAGAAAAACAATTTTACCACTCTTTTTTTTAATTTAAATATCTAAAATAATGAAGAAATGAACAATTTAATTGTAGGCTAAAATTTATCTTGCCAGAAATTGAGAGTTGCCGAGCATATTTTGAAAGGAATCCTTGTCATAAAAAATTAATTGTGGTTTTTAGGGTAAGGAAAATTTTAATTCACTTTCACATATGTCTGCTGAAGGCCACGGATATAATGTAGAAGAATTATTTAAGAATCTTTCGGAGAAAGAGTGCATATCAGTTATGGTTGCAATCGCAGTGAATATGTTAGAAGGTACAGGCTACTGTTACTTTAGTACAATAAAAGATTTCCAAGACGCAATGAATAGTGGACATATGGGTATTCCAGTACCTTTTGTTGATCCTTTTTATGAATTCCTGACTGATGCTATCAAAAATCAAAATGGACCAGAGTTCAAACAAATCATATAAATTATGGAAGATAATACCATAGATAAAGTAAGCAAAAGCTGTTCGGTCTTGAGCTATTTAGCGAAATATGATTATTTAACACATCTTTCTAATGGAATTGATCTCAATTAGAATCGTATCTGAATTGATCTCTAATATCTGTAAATAAAATATATATTTATAAATAATTCAGACTTTTTTACCTCATACATCAACGCTGGAATTATAGGGTGTCCAAAGGTGCGCTTAGCACAGCGCTCTATATGAGACTATTAAAGGAGATATATGCTGATTATAAATATATAATAAAAAATATGAATATATGTATATGATGAGTATGTTGTATTTTGGCGCCATGCCGGGATATAAAATGAATTTTGAGACAAGAGGCGGTTTCGCGGGAAATTTTGGCGGGATTTTTTTCATTTTTTTAATGAATCATAAAGAAAACATCCTCGCTCTTGCAAAAAAATGCAAAGACTGTAAAAAATCTACGAGACATTGGTAAAATGCTTCGGTATGGATGCTCCTAGCTATTCCACTGTAACGTATTATGTTAGGATGTATCACTTCATGAACAAAAAGGCGCCCATCATAAAAATTGACAAAAAATCGCCGGATCAAAGAAAAATCAAAGCAATTCTTCAAGCGCTAGATGAAGACCCAAGAGCATCACTCAGAAGGATAGAGGAGATGACAAAGATACCACGTACAACAGTCAGTTATTATCTGCACAATTATTTGAACTACAAACTAGCGTATACACGTTGGGTTCCGCACAACCTTAATTCAGTTCAAAAAAAATCTAGAGTCCAATCTTCGAAAGAGCTCCTCTCTATATTGCGTGCGTATCAATCCAAGAAGTTTCGCTTTTTAGTAACAGGGGATGAGTCTTGGTTTCAATATGCAACAGAAGCCAAAATCATGTGGATCCCGAAGGATGAAAATCCGCAAACATTCCCGAAGAAAAAAATTGACACACCAATGATTATGTTGTCGGTTTTTTGGGGCGTGAATGACATCATCGCAATTGATATTCTTCAAAAACCTAATACGATGAATGCTCAGTATCTAATTGACAATGTTCTTACTCAAATTATCAATTCTGATGAGTTTGAGAAATCCAAATAACAAAAACAAAAGTTTGCAATTCATTTTGATAATTCAAGAGTTCACAAAAGTCATAAGGTAATGAATTACTTGGTGGAAAACAATGTCAAAGTTGTTCCAAACCCAATTTATTCACCTGATATTGCACCCTCTGAATTTTATTTATTCGGCACGCTAAAAAAGAGAGCTGAAGGACGCGAATTCGCGAGTCCAGATGATCTTGAAAATTTTGTAAGAGAGCAATTTGAGCAATTTTCTCATGATGATTTAAAGCGTGTCTTTCAAGCCTGGATCGATCGCTGCGAACGCGTGATTGAATCCAATGGTGATTATATTTAAATAAACTTTATATATATGTAACTTGTTTATTTCTATTCGCAGTATTCAGGTTTGTGCTAAACACACCTTTGGACACCCTATACTATTATATCTAAATCCACATTTGGATAACAAGGCATATGCATATTCTTTGCACATTTCATATTGACGTGAATCTTGACGCATTGTGTAAATGTCTTCAAATGTAATACCAGCTTGATAGTCACGTGAATGGGTTTTCCAGTCAATATCGTATTTTTTATGAATTTTGAGTGTTAAATTACATTCTGCAATAGATGTTTCGGTTGTTGACAAATCATACTTAAAATGAGCCATGACGCGAAGTAAACCATTCAAATGTTCTTCCGTCATGGTTGTCAAATGGGAAAAATTGAAAAATGTTGAATTAATACTGAAAAAATATTGGAAACAAATGATTGTTGCTGTAAGATGCTTTACAACTTCCCAAGTTCCCATATAATAGACCGGATAAATGTTTCCGTCTATTTTGAGAACACCAAGATTTGTCTTAATGTGACGGTCTCTCATTTGAATGCAATGATGTACCAAGAGCAGATATGCAAACCACATCATTTGACATCTTGTGTCAGCATTAAATGCCTCATTTCGTATGCTTTCATACCAGAATGCAAGTGGAGCTATGAATAATGCTTCATTATAATAGTTTTTTTCTAGAAGCGCCTTTACAGCTCTAATTGAAAATATTGTGATCGGATATTTATCTTTTATCCTTCCCAGAGGTGAAGTATCATTAAGAGCATCACCTAATTCAATTGCATCTCTGATCTTGTTAACATCAACAATTGTATTCAGATCAGATGGATGAACTAAAAGCTTAAGTGTTGCATCGAGTAATCTGGTACGTTCAAGTTTTGACATATGTATGAGATCATTAATCCATACAACTTGATCTCCTTTCTTTAAGATAGCAGTAGCTCTTTTAAATATTTCTTCGGGATCATTACCTTGCAAAATTTCATTAATAAATTCATCTTGATGCTTATCATATCCGGGATCTCCATCAGTAATGATGACTCTAACTCTTAAGTGCTTTCGTATTTCTTCGATTGCTGCATCAATTTCGTGGATAATTCCACTTGCAAACCCATTGGCATGTTCTATAACATGTAATATAACATTTGGCGCATCAAAATTTAGGGGCATACCAAGAAATATGAATAAGTATTTGATTTCTTCTCCATTTTCATCAACAGGACCTTTTTGGTCTTTAGAGGACCAGGTAGAGAGTGCAACTGCATCTATTGCTATTGCCCATTCATATTCAGGTGTATTTTCTACGTGATAGTTCATGCTTTCTAACATTCGCGGAATGAGCTCAGCATGTTTAACAAACTGTTTCATATTCATTATGTCTTCATGAAACCTATTGTACAATGTTACAGGCGTAGGAAAAGGTAAACAAAATTCCAAGAGAACATCATATGCTGCTGGTGATTTGCTATGTATTAAGAATGCCAAATCTACCAATTCACTTTCACCTCCATATCTATAACCTCTTTTATCTTTTCTACAAATGTTTTCCATAATAGTATGTATAATATTTCTTGTAAATTCAGGAACATGTTCCGGAAATTCTGTATTCCAGTAAGTTCTGTCTTGGTGATCATCGTTGTCTTCTTCTATTTCCTTTGTTTTTCTTCCAATATTCTTATTCAACAGACTTCTGCGCATTTCAGCCTTTATTGCGTCTAAGTCTTCTAGGTAGGCTTTATACATATGCATTTTTCCGGTTCCTGTATACGGGAATACCTGAACATCAGTTTCAAATGATCTTTTGTAAATTTGTTTTCGAATATCTTGATTAAATTTAACTAAAAACGTTTCTCGGTCTCCTTTTATTTCAATTTCAAGTTCTTCAATCTTCTTTTTAAGTTCGTTGATGTCTGAGAGAGGAATATAGAATCCAACATTCATTAACTTTTTGAGAGAATGTCAGACCAATCTGAATAAAATAAACTTAATATTTTCTATAATTTCATACTAGAATAGAATTGGTAATGATATTTAATATCTTTTTGCTTCACTTGTAGAAATTATTTTGAAATTAATTTTTTGTAATCGACAAGATACAATTTTGTTATGACCAAATGTTGTCACTACTAATTTAAATTCCATTTACAACAGCTACTTTATAAACATCCATCCAAAATTGAAGATTCCTAAAATTTCAAAATGGAAATATGCAATATGAATGATGAAATCATATCCAATAGTTATGAAATTCATCATACATAAGATAAAAGATAGAAAAATAAGCAAATATGAAAATTTAATGCATAATGATATGTGAATAACTGTAAAATTGCAAAACCACATCAGCATCAATTATTGGCATAAATATATATTCTTTTGATTGTATATGCATTTCTGTTTTGGAAATAACTTTCAGATTAAACTTGTTAAGCCCATTCATAGATAATTTGCACGAAAACAGTTCTGAACAACTTAGAAAATGGTCTTTGTCTAACTACCAGAAATAATTTATTGATAGAAATGTCTTTTAAAAAAGAAAATTTCATATTAGGCATCCGTAAAGGTTTTTGTTTGAATGTTGGGGGTTAAGGAGTGTAATAGTCAAGATATTAGATAACTAAGTGTATGAAGTTGTCATCTATGTTGATAACAGCGGAAAATTAAAAATAATTATTAAATCATAACTTTTTGTCTCATGAAAACCATAAAAAAGTATAAAACTAAAGGTTTTTGCATGTGAACTATAGAAAGCTTTAGATTCATAAAAACTAGATTTTTTTTTGATATTTTGATTTTTGAGGTATACTTTTAAAAGTGGATTTAAAGCACTGATGAAAAAACATTAACTTCTGTCGTTATGATTATTGATTTAGACAATAATGATTTTAATCTTTGATTATCAAAACACTAAAGTCATCTTTTTAACATTTGCTTGGTAGCATTAACTCAAGTCTAAAGTACTATTTTATGTGGCACTCTTAGAATTTTTGTATTCATTGTACACGCTGAAATAGTACCATTAAAGATATGACGAACTTTACAAAAAACAGTTAGGATACTATAAATCTAACTGCCAATTTATACACTTTCGGCTAAGGAGAAACATAATAAATTTGACGCTTTTCTTAGCAAGGAAGCCATATTTTTGATTTGATATCATTTTTTAATACAAATTTATATGTGTTAATGCGGGGGTAAACGATAAGCGCAATTACTTTTAGCAAACATACTTTGAAAACCAATATGCTATAATTTTATATTATAATTTGAATAAAAATTGTAAATTGTTAGTTCTTGATGCAGCATTCAAAGATAATAACAAGATAGAACGATTTTCAAAAAGGAATGTTTGATTTTATCATTGAATTAAAATAAAATTCTAATAGTAATATATATGTCTGTGTTATAATGAAATTGATGGTATACGTTAGCACCAAATTACATATGCTAGTAAATACAAGCCACATAAATAACATTTTAGTATGTCTGCAACCTTTTTTTTTGAATCATGAGTAAGTAAGAATATTTTTGTAACAAAATGATATCATGTATCGAAAGAACATACTTTATTGTTGTATCCTCTACTTTTCCAAAGATTATTGTATCTCAAATCTTAATTCTTTAGATGGTAAACAAAAACATTCATGCAAGAGACATTCCAAGGAGCATATTACACTGTAGAATCTTGAAAAAGTTGGAACTAATTAATTCACTCCAGAGGAGCAATGTTGTATGCATTCAATTTTAAAAAAAAAAAAACTATATATTATCGAACTTAATACTTTGGGTTTTCATATCTATATACTTCTTCCAATGAACTAATTTCCAAACAAAGCTCTTGAAAAATCTTTAAATATAGATGATTTTGCTTATATTTTTTGATTTCTCGATAGCAATGCTAGGATATTACAATATTTCCATGTATTTTACTAGGTTGTAACTAGTTGGCATAAGAGTACATATATAGAATCGCTCCGACTATATAATATAATGTTTATTTAATATTACTGTTTATTTTACAGCTAAAGCTTAAACTTATAGTGTATTTATTTTTTAACTGTCTGAATAATGGCAGATTATTTTAATATTTAACATTGATATTGAAATATGAAATAATGCATTTTTCCTTTTTAGCTAGAACACTTGTTTGGGCAATATTTTTCTTTTTTAAACACCAAAATCACATATTTCTCTTATATATATCTATTTTTAAATTATTTTGTTGATATTTTGACAATTTGAGTTAAATATCGATTTAATTCTATTTTTATGGGTAAAATATATATGTATATATCATATTTCATTATTGGTTTGTTAATGCAATTCAATTCTTGGATCCTTGAGTTTTCATTTGAAAGTTCAACTACAAATAAACCTTTCACTGAATATAGGTACTAAAATTTCATTCTAGAATAGCCATTCTTATGGTTTTATCAATATAAAACAACATTATATTTTTTATATATTCTACTTGCTAATTACTTTTCTAGTTTCAAGATAAAGTTACTTAATCTCCGATAAGATGCATGAGATGTGAATTGGAGATATCGAGCATGCATATTTCCGAATATACTACTATATTATGTACTATTGTGGAAAGAAATTAAACTTTGTAAACTGAATGAATTTCATATAATGGTTGTCTGGCAGCTATGATTTCTCTTTTCGTATTTATTTTTCCCGAAAATCATTCAAGAATTAGGGGGCATTAACAACAATGATAAAAATGGCATTTTTCTTAATTTTTTTTGGAAAAAAATACATTTCATATTTATTTGTTCTTAATATAAATTAATAATATTAATTTACCTTACAAATGAGTTATGTAAAGTATTCAAATTTTAACTACAATTTTTATGCAGTCGAGCAACAGCAGATGCGCTTTTGCTTGATTTTTATTATCACCAGTGCCGTCTATAGTAAATAGTTTATAAATAGAACAACTGCACTCTTAATTATCACCAAAATAAATCAAAGATTTTAAAAATTGATTGTAATTATAGTTAGATTAACCATCATCACTTGCAAACTGAACTAATTTACTACTTCTCCAATTAACACTCATGAACAATGTTTTTTTAAAAAAAATATAATTTTTTATTCTAAATTTTACATTAACATGTCATTTATTATGATCTCATAAAACATATCCATATATTATAGTTACAGTAATATTAAAATTTCAAATTTTGAATTAATTTGGTTATATTATGACCATTAAGCCAAGATCCCAACTTCTCTATGCTATCTATGAATTTCAACTCTATATGTAACTAACACGTTATAAGTTTTGTTTATAAATATAAGGTGCATTTCAGTAAATTACTCTTTTATAATAGTTCTTTTATTACAGCTATAAAATCTATACTAAATATATATGTTTTTATACTAAATTTATTAATTGTAATACTAATTTTAATTGTTGCTGATCATATGCTAAATTTTATATGAAATCCTTAATTAGAAACTTGAGTTGAATATATATTATATGAAACAATCGGTGTTTAAAACAAAATACAGCTTGATTTATATAGTAATTTATGCTTTACATGTATTTTATATAAATTTTTATTGAATTCAAATATTCAATAGTTTTTTTATGCTAGATTAGTTGTATTTATTTAAATATATTATATTGGCAACCTTTCTTTACCCTGTCCTAATAAACGCATTTTGTAAAAAAAATATAATGCATCAGTTTCGAACTAGCGTCCCCGGTACCCAATAGTAAAGGGTAATCACCATTCGACCATTTGCCACGTAAAGCATCGCCAGATTTTTTTGTATTTAATCACTCCCAAAACACTGTTTTGGCTTATTGGAAGCATATCAGACATAATCGCCATAATCAAAAAATCTATATACCCAATAAGTAATAAATTTGTCGATATAGATTTTCCATAAAATTAGTTTTTAGTTTGATCTTAAAATAAATTTAATTTTTTATAAAAAAATCACATTTAAAAGTACCTTTTTAGTAGCTCGAAATCCTGTTGGTGGATTTCGGGCGTACTTCAAAATTAGCTTTTCTTCTACATATGCAAGCTATATTTTAAATATGGGGCAAATCGGATCGGCGAAAGGAGTTTAGTTACCTTTTAATTCATTAGATTTGGGATTTTATTGATGAGGATGACATGACCTTTAATCACAAATGTGGCACCGATCCTTGAAATTCACTAATATCAAATCTAGAACTCTCGGAAAATAGCTTTTGCTAGTGTAAATATTTTTTTTTGAAAAAATAATATGCGAATCAAAATCTCCAACGCACGCATACACTAAATTTATGATTAAAATTTCAAATGAAATAGAGTTTGTTATAAAAACAAAAAAGTGACAACGATTTTAGATGAGCGAAAGTTCTTCAGCTAGGGTTAGTGTAAATGAACGAGAATTATATGAACAAATACTCGCGGACAATTGTCAATATATCGAAGATAAACTTTCAGGAAAGTCTTATAGAAATTATATTTTTTCAGATAAATTCCACGAAGGTAAACAGATATTATGGAACTGTCCACCATTAATTTCAGTTTGTGCATACTGCAAAGCGATAAAATGTCTACAAAAATTAATAAGTAACGATGCAGATACCAGTATTCTCGATAAGAATAAAATGACTTTACAGATGTTTGCTGTTGCATCACGCAGCACAGAAGTAATTACTCTACTATCCACGAAATTGAACTTCAACTTTGCCCTTCATTACGCAGCTCAGTACGGATACCCCGAAATTGTTGAATTTTTACTTGGCACAATAAAAGTTGATTCATCTCGTCTCAACGATGAAGGCATGACACCACTCCACTGTGCAGCGATAGGTGGGAACGCTGAGTGTTGCAACATCATTATCTCTTACGCACCACAGCTAATCAACGACAAAGACAACAAAGGAAACACGGCTGTGATGCTGGCCACGAAAAGAGGCAACATACAGATCATCAAGGCATTGCTCAGTGTAGATGATGTTGATGTAAATCCCATCAATGAAGCAGGAGAAACACTGTTACACCTCGCAGCTCAAGTTTATAACACAGATGTAATTCAATTAATTTTCGGAGTTGCAGGTAAAAAGAAACTGATTGAAGATAAACAATGGGACTTCTTTACCCTTGATTGTTACGCTGTAGGAAACAACTTAGACCTCGATGATCTCAATATGAAAGATGAACCACAAGAAAAAACAGAAGAAAAAAGTGACAAAATTTCATTTAATGTTGACATCAAAACTCAGTCAGGGGATACTCCATTAATGTATGCATGCGCATCAGGAAGCTTACAATGCTTTAATCTACTTGTCCAAAAGGGAGCAAGTCTCTACGAAATGAATGAAAAGTTGCAAACAATTCTTCATTTAAGTGTTCTTTCAAAAGACTTAGAAATGGTTAAGAATGTCTGCAAATACAACGTTGTAGATGTCAACAGACAAGATGTTGATGGAAACACTGCTCTTTTAATTGCTCTCAAACAGAATTCCCCTCAAATTTGTCAATATCTCATTTCTATTTCGAATTTGGATCCAAACATTCCTGATAAAGAATTGGACGCTCCAATTCATGTTTGTGCACGCTTAGGTTTGACATCAATTGCTGAATGCTTGATAAAGAACGAAAAGACGGATTTGAATGCAGTAAATAACAAAAATTGCACCGCTTTGTTCTTGGCAACTAAAGGTGGTTTTCCTGATGTTGCTTTGCTTTTACTTCAACAATCAAAAGTTAATGAGAAAATCGCCGATAACGAAGGTTCTACACCTCTTCATGCTGCTGCAAGATTCAATCAACCAACTATAGCAAAAGAATTGCTTGTTGAATCAAGAGACGTAGATGTAAATGCACGAGATGTTGATGGTTGGACTCCTTTGCATTATGCATCAAGAAATGCTCATTTAGAGATAGTAGAAATGATTGCGAAATCATCTAAGGCTGATGTGAATGCACAGGATAAAAGAGGAAAGACACCTCTTTATTTCGCGATGAACCAAGATGTAAGAAAAGTTCTTATGGAGCATGGCGCGTTCTCTGATCAGAACTAGCGCAATATTTTTTTATTAAATTATTTTGTTAGAATGTAAAAAATAGATGTAAGTTAATATAGTTTCACTTCTCTGAGTTATTCTTAATCATAATATAATCGAATAATAAGTATTTGCAACTTACTTTGGCGTTTAAAACTCAAGTCAACTAGCAAATTCTATCAGAATCACATTGAATTCATCACGTTTTGGAAATTGTTCAATATATTGGTCTGAATCATTAGCAAGTATTAATCATTGGGAATTTACATTTGAGTATTCTTTATTGAGATTTTTTTTTTGATTTTGGAGATCTTCATTGTTATTTCCCAGACATGATTCCTAGTTACATGTGAATTAATGACGAATAATTGGATTATGAGAAAATTTTAACAAAAAAAGTCAGCTAATTGTGAAAATTTTAATAAAATTGCAAAATATAACCATAATTATAGCTATTTAATATTCAACTTTCAAAAGCACGATTATTCAGAACAAAAATGTGCCCTCCGCGTCGTAGACATCGCCGCTCAGAGGAAGTTCCTGAAGAGCCAGCTGTCGAAGAGAAGAAAGAGGAGCAAGTAGAGGAGAAGCAAGAGCAGAAGGAAGCAGAAGTTGAAGAACAACCTGCTCCAGAAACTGAGCAAAAGAAATATCAGCCAACAATCTTGAAGATCAGCGCTAAAGTCGGCAGTAACACATTCCTCCATCTCGATGGAAAGAATTTATACTTAGATACAGCTGAAAAAAGCCAACTTCTTAAATTATCAATCGATATCACCGATAAAGTCCTTTCTTTTTCTTTAGATGAGAAAGGAGTTATTAGAATTTTCACTTCAGATGGCAATGCTATCACAGTTACCCTTGAAACACTCAAAAAACCAACAGTTTTCAAATATGCAAAAGAATTTTTCAGCGCTTCGATATTCCGTCACCAAATTCTCGCCATCATTTCTGGTGAATACAGGCCAATTTTATTAGATTTTAAAGGAAATATTCTCGAAGAATACACTGATATACAGAAACAAGTTAGATTTTGCATATTTACATCACAGCTTAAGGCAGTTGCCGATTCTACACTTATATATGTTAAAAAATCAGGAGAAAAAGAATGGCATAAGAGCAAATATCGTGATTTCTATATTACCCACTTAATTAACGTTAATCGTCAAACAGAATTCGGTATTACCACGAAGACAACAACCCGCGTGTTCAGAAAACATTTCCAATCTACATTCCGTCCATGGGCCACAGATACTGTTGCTCTTTTGCAATGCCCATCAAGACGTCACTTCTACGCCCACCTGAACAACGCTGGTTTGCTCAGAATCGGTGACAACGAAGGAGAATATTCGATTCAAGAAAACGGCGTTACAGGCATATGCTGGGACATGGGTATGCTTTGGGCCAGGAACAATAATGGCAAATGGCATAAATGTGTCCTTTCTTTCGACGACCAATTATTCGATATGAGAGCTCAGATGCTTAAAGGACTCGAAACACCACTCGAAGTACCTTCATCTGGTAATGTTATTAACGTTCTCGAAGCAATTATCGAAAGACCGGCAATGTCTAGCGAAATTATGACTGTTTTGCCACCAATTGCACAAAAACTTAGACAAAGCACAATTATTAATGATGCTTTGAAGTCTTTGGACACTTACATATCTAAAAGTGGACAAATTGACAAACTTTTAGGTCAAATCGACTTGGCCCTGTCAAGAAACGAGTCTGAGGAGTAATTTAATATGATATAATGTAGAATAGAGATATAAAGATTATAATTTTGCAAAATTGTTTCTTTTTCTCATAAAATTTAACCGTTAGACGTTGAGTAAAATTTAACACACCCGATATGATTTTTTGAATGGTCATCTCAAAAAATCACATCGAATATTTTATTTTAATTTCTTTTTCTTATACATATAATATATGGAAAATGAATAAATTCATGTCTCAAAATTTGGAGAAATTTTTATGATTTTTATTTATTTAAATTTCCCTTTATCCCTCAGAACCTAAGACATAAGAAGTCAAACAATCCCAAAAGTTTTTCAGCTCAATAAACTCTCAAATGCAAACATAATGCATATAAAATCTAATTATCTTTGAATCATGCAAGAAAATTCGGCTGGAATGATTATTTTGGAACCAAAGGAAAAGTAACTCGAACTAAAGATGGAAATCCATTCAGTGATTCTTCAACAACTAATAATTATTATGTTTATGATTGCAATTTTGAAGAGTGTAAACCAAAAGGTGCAATTTATATCTCCAGAACTAACCAAATATGCACATTACTTGAAGTTAACGTATTTTCGAGATGTCAATCCAGTGAAAAAGGTGGATCAGTATCCTATTATTGCCCACAAGCAGGAGAAATAGTTCAACAGCGAAATTATTATTTTGAATCAAAAACACAATACATTTGCGTTTCATTTTATCAAGCAGTTGGACAAACTTCTTCTTTCAAAAACTACAATTTTCAAATTTCAGTTTCAAAATGCGGAGAAAGTGATCAAAAAGGGGATTACACATTTCTAAGTACATATGGTGATTTTAATTTTGAGAATAACAACATATCATTCAACAAATGCATTCAATGTTCATCACTGGTTGTAACCCTTTTAGGAAAATCGGGTAAATGTAGTTTCTCAACATTCAGAGAAAACTCTCAAACTTCAGGTACATCTCTTTCATTTTTAGTTCATATTTCCCAGCCATCCTTTATACACACTGTTTCATATTGCAATATTATTGGAAATAAATGTGGAAAAGACAAAAGCCAAGTTCTTATTGGTAGTTCTTTCAATATGAATGTAGATCACTGCGTTTTTTTAAAAAACATTGCAGCATATATGTTTTCAGTTAATAATCAGGGTTATACAATGTCCATTGCTGATTCATGTATTGAAAAAAAGTCGAAAACAGGACCAGGAATTGTAATTTTTACTAGAGAAAATAAAATTTATTCTGATTTTTATCGGATTCCACAGTTTTATACAGAATTTTGTTTCATAGCACCAAAACGAGTCACTTTTAAATTTCGATATTTAAAAATTCAAAAGAAAGTTTTAAAACAAGATACTTTAAAAATGAAAATATTATTCTTTGTATCATCCTGAATAGATATTTTCGGGAATTTAAACAAGTAGTTTAAGGGTTTCGTTTTGCGAAAAAAACGTACAATACGCAATTTCGCTAAAAAAACATTTAGCTAGCAATTTCGACCTTTGACTCCACTCAAGACGTCACTTTTTTAATTTTGCGGTATCATATTTTTGGAAAATCTTTATGAATATTATATAAAAAGTCTCTTTAATATCTATATTTCATATTTTTATCGATTTTTAAAGTTTTTGCGAAAAGTATTCAATTATTTTTGCTATTTGGTCGGGTAAATGTCAGATTTGCGACATTTTCTGATATGATATTCAGATTCTACGTTGATAATAATGCTTATAGAACCCTCTTGCTATTGTGTCAAAATTGCGAAACCGATAGCAAAAATATCTCGCAATATCAAAATTGAAGATATTGAGTGAATTATGCATTATAGAGATTAAAAATCTGATTTGTGAAAACATCTCATCAGTTTCTAGCTAATTCAAAAATCTTTACTATCTTATTCGATTAAAATGAAAAGGGAATAGTTTCATTATGCTTTAAATGACAGCCTTATAATATAATCATAGTTTTCGCTCAATATGCAGCATTTTTTTTTCGAAATCTATGGTCAATATCCTAAATACTGATTGCTTTGCATTCATATCTCTTACATTTTCTATACCCACATCACTATTCATTGCTATTCCTATCTTTTTCATTTTTGTTTGTTTCTCATAATTTCTCAAAAAACATGATAACTTGATATTTGTAAATATCATACTTTATAACGTAAATAAGAACTTGACCTATTAAGAAAAGCAGTAATGAAAAGAAAATCTGAAATTCATAAAAATTACAAGTTTCTGATGACAATTAGCTTAATTAAACCAGGTACAAGATTATATAATTGTATTTTCTATCCAATTATCCATATAATATCTTATCCAGAAAAAAAAACTTGATCAATACCAAATGATTTTTTAACTAGTAAATAAAGTATTTTCTTTACACACACATTGTATATCAAAAAAAAAAAAAAAAAAAAGGGTAGTGGGGCTTCCAGGCACTTCGTGCCTTCTAGCCCTGAGGATGATTGGTATAATGAAGTTTTTTTTTCTTGGGGTGTCCTTCCAGGCACTTCGTGCCTTCTAGCCCACATAAATGAAGTTTTTATTCGGAGGTCTTCCAGGAGCTTTTCACAAATTATATATGTTTTCATGTTTTGTCAAGACTTCATCGTAAATGTTTTGTCATGATTTCTTCGTAAATGTTTTGTCAAGACTTCTTCGTAAAATCAGACAAAAATAATGTTTATGTTAGAATGTTAGATCTAACATGTTTTCTAACACGTTTTCTAACATGGTCTAAAACTCTTGAATTTTCAAGACTTCTTCGTCATAGGCACGGAGATAGGACGGTTATTTTACAAAACTGACAACACTTTGACCGAGTAGTTTTTTGTGCTGAACAAAAAGTGTCATATAAACATCTGTCAAAACGCGCTTTTTAACTTCACTTAAAATGCCACGTAAGCTACGTAAGAATATACGTAAGAGGAAGAGAGCATTGAAACATCCAATAGTAAAACTAACACCAAACAACAGTTTGCAACAACAAATGCTGAATGACCCCACTATGTTGAAACAAATGTCAAGCAATCCTATGCTTTTAAACGGAGTTGTTGGTGCACAGAGTGGAGGTTTAAGAGCGGCATTTAGCGAAAATGGCAGGCTATGGTGGAGCTGCAGACGGAACAGCCTATACCCTCAAAGTCAAATGAATTTGAGTTCACTCAAATCATAACAGATGTCAAAAAGTCAAACATAGACATACAGAAGCAAATAAGTGAAAACGAAAAGAAACTAGAATATGACAGACACACAAAGAAACTCAATGAGTTAAACGTAGAGAAAAAGAAGAAAGAAGAACAACTGAAAGAACTAAGTACAGAGGAATATGCGAAAAAAGTGTCAGAAAAAGCAGCAGAAGTAGCAAAAATGGAACAAGATGTTATAAATTTGAAAAACCATACTACTCAATATAAAGTACTGAAAGATGAAGAAATAAAACAAAAAGCCCTGAAGACATATATGGATAGCGATGAGTATAAAAAAGAAGTTGAAGCAAATGTAAAGGCAGAAAAACTTTTACAGTTGCAAAACCAAACCGTACAGTTGAAAACTTAGCACAAGAAAGTAAAAATAACGACGCAGCCATGCAAAAGGCAATGAAAAGCGCAGAATATATAAAAGCTAATAATGACTGGTTAGATGCCCAAGCCAACGCTAAAGCAGCCCAACTTATAGGGTCAATAAGGACAAAAATACAAGCGGATGAAGACAGTTCAAATGAAGCTTTAATGAATGCTGACTTTAAGAACGCCTTCGAAGCTCTTCATAGTAAGGTGAAACTAGTGAACGACTTCTCATCTGGAAAGAAACTGAAGTCTGAAGGTTTCGACAAAGAGTTAAGAGAAGTAGCACAAAATATGACGAAAATAACAGATGCAGCAACGAGACAGGCAGTTCAAAGTGCCTATGACGCCGTTAGAGCAACTGTTGTGGAAAGTCAAGAAAAAGAGTTACAACAGACCAAAACAGACCTAGTAAATGCTTTCTTAAAAACGAAAAGTCAGGTAGGACATTATGCTGCAGATGGAACATATGTGTCAGCTGGTGGAACTTATATACCACCAAACCCTCCAAGAGAAGCACCTGCACCAGGACTACCTAAAACATTTACATCGTCACATGGACACAGACACAGGCATGCACCACAACAACAACCAAAACCAACACAACAACCAACACAACAACCAACACAACAACCAGCACAGCAACCAACACAACAACCAGCACAGCAACCAGCACAGCAACCAACAGTTCAAAACCCTGCACAACAACAACCACAAACAGAGCAAGGACATAAAAGAAGTAGAGAACAAGGAAACCAAGAATTCTTAAAAATGCTTAAAGAAGACTATGGTTACCCAGATAGTATTGACTTTAGTGACAGATATAAAGAAGCTATTAGAAAGTTCAAGGATGGAAATACTGACCCGAACCTATTTAGCTTTATGGCTCTGCACCAAAGGGGATATAATTTCAAACCTGGAAAATACAAGCTCGCTAAGGGATATGATTTAATAGCATATCATCCAAATGACATGAACGAATTTACTCCGAGATATTTGATGTCAGAGCAAATGACAATTTAACTCTCTTCATGAAACGCGTAAAAAATAGAGACGGAACGAAAGAAGAAGGTTTATGAGTCCGGATGACTTAGAAAGGGAACTTGTTGAAAACGGTCTCGGAATATATGAAATGCCAGCAGATGAGGTACAAGAAACTCCACCAGGAAGAAGTTCAGATACAACCAGACATGGAAGAAATAGTTCAGCAACAACAGCTAGAAAGGCCTGAAGGAAACGAACAAGTCACTCCTTTGGAAACTAACTTCACAGAACTAGATGAAGATTTGGAACAGCCGAAAAATCTTGACCCTCAACAAGAGTATGCGGAGAATATGGAATCTTTCCAAGAGTCTAAAAAAAATTCGGCTGACATAGTAGAAGAATATCGAAAATGTTTGCCGACATACAAAAGACTCCAACACCAGATGAAAATATTCA